CTCAACTCAGTGTATTGACAACTAGCTGAGCGACTGCAACGAGTATCCTAAAGCTGAGGAGAAAAGAAAGGAAGAAGAAAAAGAAGAAAGTTCGAGAACAGAACACGAGCTTTTAAAGGGAGCTCCGGAGCCGATGTGGATCCCCGGTCGAGAGCGGAGCCGAGACCCACACGGGCCCAGCCCGTTACAATCTCCTTCTTCAACTGCCTGATGAGTTGCTCCACGCCCTCTTGGCCGAAAATGTTGGCGAACATGAAGGGACGGCCAACGCCGACCGCCTTGACTCCGAGAGCTAGCAGCTTGAGCACATCCGTGCCGTATCGGACGCCGCCATCTGCAAGGATGTCCATCTTCTTGAAGATCTCGGGATCTTTCTGGTGGATCTCGATGGCAACCTCTAGTGATGTTGGTGCTCCATCAAGCTGTCGGGCGCCGTGGTTTGACAGAATAATTCCGGCGACCTTGTACTTGATGGCTAATTGCACGTCTGCAAATGACATGACGCCCTTCAGAATGATGGGAAGTTTTGTCATGGTGGTGAGTTTCACGTAATACTCCCACTGCTACCAGTCAGCAGGCAGTACAAAAGCGCATTCACAACTATAATGTGACGTACCGTGAATGCCGAGTATGAAGAATCGCTGTCGCTCACAGTTAGATAGAGCCATGGGGAGCACGATAAACTGATGGTCGACCACACTTACGCTGAGCCGACGTCATATCGGGCGGCGCGATGCCGATTTCCATCAGCAGCAGAGTCCACTGTGAATACGATGGCTTTTGCACCAGCCTTCTCCGTCCTTCTGATGAGTTCTTCTGTCTCGGTATCATTTGTAGCAGACAAGTACAGCTAATGGTCAGTTAGCACAGGAACTCGGCCTGAGCACTGGTCAGTAAGAAATCACCTGTTGGAACAAGACCTGTCCTTCCGCCTTTGCTTCCGCAATCTCCTCGATGGTGCGAGTCGCAAACAGTGCAGGCTGCGGGCGCATGTCAGCTAAGACTTTGGACTCAGTCGGGCATGGAAGACTGCCGCACCATGTACAGGATGTTCTCTTTGGCGGCAGCCTTGACAAAGTTGATCTCAGCGTTGGGGTGAGCCATCCCAGCCTGCGCGCAGGGGCTGATGTAGAATGGCGCTGAGAAGTTGTAACCCAAGATGGTGGTCCTTTTGCCGCGTCAAAATTGAGTTTCTGAGTGGTCTTGGTGAAGTGCTTACGACAGGGTTGATTCGATCTTGGATATGTCTACCAGGATGCGAGGTCGAAAGGTATACTGATGGAAGATTGCGAGATTTCTGCGGTACGTATACTCTCCAGCGGCGCCATTGCGATAGTAAGTATAGTTACGGGCCGGCAAGCACTTTCTGGCAATGGCCTCGTAGTCCGGAAGACCCTTCGCGATGTTGATATCGGGCAGGCATCCCTCTGCTCCGCCTTGAGACTGGGGCGTTGATGGCACGGGGCATTCGTCGGTTGCATTTTGGCCAAAGAGGAAAGGGTTGAGGCCCGTGTCTGGCTCGTTCAGAAAGGGCCGAGCCGCGAGGGCTCGGGCAGCCAGGACTGCCAACAGGAGAAGCGACCGCATGGTTAGTCAAGGTGACTGCGTAACTACTTATCCGGACATCCCTGGGCCTAGCGTCTGACGAGCAGGCACTTCTTGACTTATATAGCCGCTTCATCTAAGGATCGTCACAGAGGCCATCTGACAGTTGAGCCTATACCCTGGAGCCGTCAATGCGAGTGGAATGCGCTCATCCAATCCGTCGGTGACGCGGTGTCGGCGCCCGTCTGCCAAGCACCATTACGCAGCTTCTCATGCCCTTCTGGGCCAAGATCGCGCGATTATCAGATTCGGCCCGCGTACTCTTAACCCATGTATCCAGGTAGGCGCGAGCGGCCGCCAGCATATGCCAGCCTGCGCTTGAAGGTGCATGACTCGACGACACGCTGTACACTTGGGTCGATGACTTGGCCGTCCGGTATTTGACCCTGCGCCCACTGCGATGTGCCGCGTGCATTTAGTCAGCGATTGCAGATAGATTAAACGCGGCGTCCGGTGGCCGTCCCCGTTGATGGACGATTCATCCGTATGCGCTACTGCCTTTTTGGGGCAAAAGCAGTTCATGCAAGCCGCGAGTTAACAGGATATTCGCCGGTGGGATGCCGTGGATTCTCCACACATCTCGGAGTGCCGAGCTGATAAACTCGCTGCTGTCCCACTTTGCCCCTTGCTCATCAAGTGATATGGCAGGGCAGTTCTTGGCTCCCGATCATGCTGGAACTGAGCCGTCACCCGTCTGCACGGCTATTATGAAGATCAAGACGCTGAACCGTCGTCAGATCTACGACGCTGAAGCTTGTACGGTGAATGCTTGACTGCGACAGCTGTCTGCGGTTGTGTCACGTATTTCATGGCAGGCAGTATGCCTGTTGCAAGCACCCGTGTTAGTGCTGTGAGGTCTGGTGTATCGGTGTCGGTCGGTTCTATTAACTACCAAGCATTACCTGGCCATCTTCGGCAATTCGACCTGATAAACAACAACTCTGTGCGTTCTGAGTTCCAATCGCATGGCGTCATGGCGTCATGGCAGTCAAGATGCAGCCACAGGTGGCCGTGACCCACGGTCCGCGACATCTGAACGCCATCAAAGTTCTTATGCGCTTTTCGTCCATCCTGACTCAGACCGACATCTGCTTAACAACGACTCGAGTATTTAATCTGGAAGACCCAGCAAAACTTGTCGGCAGCAACCATTTCTTCGGTGACCTCGATTGTCAATTGGCCCGCGTCAGAGAGGCTCCATTCAACGTCTCTTTCCTTGTCCATCCCCAGGGCCGTAATCTTGTCGCCAGCCACAATAGGAACCTTGGATTCAATCGACATGGAGCCCTGGGCGGGCTCTTTCAGACTTAGGATGTAAAATGCGTCGTTTGTCTGTGTAAATCGCAGGTCCCCCTCTTCCGGCGTCACGTACCAGTAGGTCGTGTTGAAGATGGCCGCGCCATGGCGATTGATCCAGGTACCGGCCTCGCGCAGGTGGTCCATCATTTTCTGGTGGATAGTCCCGTCCGGACGCGGCCCAACGTTAAGCAGCAGGTTTCCGTTCTTGCTCACAATGTCGACCAGGTTGTGCACCAGCGTCGTGGCGTTCATGTACTCGTCCGCGTTGGTCGCGCGATTGAAGCCGTAGCTGAACGGGTCCATGCCTTGGTTGCTCTCCCACTTTCGAGTCTGCGCAACGCTAAAGGTAGCATACTCGGGTGTGTCGAAGTCTGCGGCCCATGGACTTCCGCATCGGTCGTTGATGGCAACTTGCCTGCCTTGCGATCGCGCCCAGTTGAACCACTCGGCGGCAAAGACATCGGTGCCGTTGGAGGCACCGGCATCGCACCACATTATGTCGGTGTCATACTCATACGCGAGCGTCTTCATTTGAGGAACCATGAGATCGCCGATAAAGTCTCCAATCGGCAGACGCCCGGTGTAAGGCTCGTTCTTTCCTGTGTATGGGTTCCTCGCGATAATGCCGGGGTGCGACGTGGACGTTACCCGATCGAACTGAGTGAACCCGTACTTGCCCCAGTCGGGGTTGAACCATTCCGGCAAAGAAAAGTACGTCCCGCGCTTCAAATGCGGTTGGTACTTTTTCGCAGCCTCGAACAACTCGCCAAGGAGATCTCGGCGTGGCCCGTAGTGCAGCGACGAGCGGTTAGTGCTGGCTCCCGTGTCGAAATTGGCGAATCCATCGTGATGCTTCGTCGTGAAGACGAAGTATTTCGCCCCAGAGTCGGCAAAAAGGTTTACCCACTCTTTTGGTTCGTACTTGGAAGCCGTGTAGTTCTCAAAAAAGTCATCATAGTTGAGGTCCGGTCCAAAGGTGCGAAGGCGATACGCGTTGAAACCCGATCGGTCTGCCGCGGCGTGCTCTTTGACCCTGGTAGAGTACCACCAGAACCATTCCGCGTAGCTTTCGTAGGGCGTGGAATTGCCCCATCCAGGAACTGAATACGGTCCCCAGTGGATGAAGATGCCGAATTTTGCGCCATCATACCACTCGGGTGCTTCGTGCTTGACTAGGCTCTTGGATTGGCTATTCCATTCGCGTAGCCCGAAATCCACATTGTCGAAGCTTGCCTCGATGAGAGGCTGCTTCCTAGCTTTAAGAGAGACCTTTACGGTAGCGGCAGATGCGGTACCCTTGACAGCAACCAGGATCCTCTTTTGGTCGCCGGAGCAGAGCCTCTTGACAATCGCAGGCGTCGGTGTCTTGATTCCACGGCCTTCAATTGCGACAGCCATATTAGAGATGCAGCCGCTTCCAGCGTGGTCTACCACGACCTCGACCAACTGGCGCCCATGGCCGTCGGTATTTTGGGTAGGCCGTACGTGCTGTATCTGGAGCCCAGCAGTCTTTGTCTCCCACAGCGACAGGGAAAACAGATGGAGGCGACCGGTAGTGGTGTTAGTTGTGTCGGGTAGAACAATCCCCTGCAGCCTCTTGCCCGGCTCGAGGATCACCGACCGCTCGTAGATATGAGACGCGTTGTGATTGGTGTCATTGTGCGTGAAAAAATACGGGAAAGTGATTTCTCCGCGTCGGATTGCCAGGAACCACCAGAATGCATGCGCTCTGACCTCGGCCGTCGACGTTGTGTTGTCCGTGTACAGCAAGGTGACGTTGCCCGAGACAGTAGTCGATCGCGTATCCGACACAAGGAGCATAGAAGCCGCAAAGTAGGAGTCCGATGGGTCGGCGTCAATTGTCTGCCCCGCGCAGATGACGTTGTCCTTAGCGGTCTTGTCGGGATTGTAGCCGGGGAAGAGGTATGAGATGCCCGTGTCGGTGGATTGGTACACGCCATCGACCCCGACCGGGTCGGCGGGATAGGATTCATTGAGGATGTTAAGTGATGCTTCACCGGGAGATGCGCCGAAGGCCTTGTTATTAAACAATGATCCCAATGGGACGTGTACCGAGCGGCCGTTAGTCCATTTTCCCGAGGTGAATGGGAGAACGATCAGGGCCGCGAACAGCACTTTGGGCTTCACCATCGTGTCCGTGCTAGCTGACCATGCAAAAAGACACAGAAAGGACTACCCAGGCATGTCTCTCAGTGGCTGAGATGGACGCGACATGAGACAGAGGGCCGAATTATATAGTGTCCGGCTGGTCTCGGGGCTTGACTGCCGAAGAGCTCGCTTCAACGTCTACCACTTCCGACGGGTATCAGCACCTGGAATCTCTCGACCCGGCGGATATTGACCTCAATCTACCGACTTGGACTGACAATGCCTGAACGGAGCGCATTGACAGCCGCCAAGGCTCCCCTTGACTGCGGGGACGGAGGGCTTAAACGGCTGCTGACCCCCACGATGGGGCGATGCGCGGGTGTCGATGGCTTGGAAGACCCACGATCTGCGGGGTGTAAGATCATGGTGGGGTTGGGTTGGCGAGGAGCAAGCTTGCCGGCGGCATCATCCGGGGTGTCGACTTAATGTCGTGTACTAGGATAAATTACAGTCTATCTTGGTATCTCGGGAATAAACTTGCCCTTGGCCCCGCGTACAATCGAGGGCTACCGCTGGGCTAAACCCTGACAACCTCAAACACCGTCTTCCCCAGCCCACCCTTGCCCTTGTATGTCAGCTCGCACGCCTCGCGCACCTTGTTGATGTCCCTCAAGTCGACCCTTGCGCCGACCACCGGCCTCAGCTTCCCCTCCTCGACATAGCCCCTCAGGGTATCCAGGTCCTCGCCAGTCGGGTCCAAGAACCAGTACATGTACTCCACGCCCCAGCGCCACGCTCGCAGCTTACGCAGTGAGTCTCCTCCATTGAGGAACACGCGCCCGAACCACGGAATGCGAGGGTTGTCGGGGCGTCTCATGACGCTCGAGGCCTGGAGCGTCGTGGCGGAGGGCTTGGTGGAGATGGATACGATGAGACTCGTTGACGGGACCATGAGGGAGAGGAACTGCATCGCTTGGCCGGTGGTGTCGAAGAAGAAGTCGACCGAGCGTGCGGGAATGACCTCGGCGGGATCTTGCTTGGTGTAGTCAATGACTGGAGACGGTCAGCTTAGGAGCTTCGAGCGGCAGGGCGAGCACCTACTTTGGTCCACAACTCCTTCACCGAGGAGCTCGGGGACCTTGGGAATCTTGGACGTCGACACCGTTGTGATGACCTTGCCGGCATTGAAGACATTTTTGGCGAGTTGACACGCATACGCACCGGTACCGCTCACTTTAATACACAGGTCAGTACGCCAAGATCGGCCAGCACAAGCTAGAGCATGGCAAACGTACATCCTGCCGGTACAAAGACGGTCTTGCCTTCCAGCGACCCCTTGTACTTTCTCAATACCTGCAGCGCCGTGACGCCAGCGAGCGGCAGTGATGCGGCATCGCTAAAGGACAGGTTCTTGGGCTTGATGGAAACGTAGCGCTCGGCGCATTTCACGTACTCGCTCCAGGAGCCTGATGGAGCATTGTTAGTGTAGGTTCATCGCCGCTGCCATTCAGCGATCACGGACAGGGGGATCCAACCTCGACCAACCTCGGGCAATCGCGTGTAGACCTCGTCGCCGACTTTGAGGCTCTTCACCCCCTCGCCAACCTCGGCAACAACACCCGCGGCATCGTAGCCGATCTTGTATGGGAATCTTCCACCACATTCAGCGCACGGTTCGGGGAACATGTTGGTAGGCTACTCACTGTTCTTTGACGGCGATCTTGAAAACGCCGTCCGCCTTTTTAACGTCCACCGGGTTGATGCTCGCTGCATGCACCCGGATGACCACGTCGTCCTTTTCCGTGACCGTCGGCCGGGGCACCGTAGAAAGCTCATAGCGAGATGGGTCCGTGTAGGTAGGCGCCGTGACTGCGAGCATTTCCGCGGCCATGGTTGCGACTGACTGTACAAAATATTCTCAGTGTAGATGAGACGCGTCGAGAGTACGGTACTGAGAAGTACAGGCACGCGATTGAAGTTGCGGATCCGAGACAATGGCGCCGGGGCGAAATATGTAAGTTATTTGGATTCGATTTTAGTGACCATGGAGAGCAAGCCATCGACGTTTGCGACCGCCCACAGCACACAGCAAGGCCCGCCACACTGGCCGAGGGACGCTGGCGGAGCGGCAAGCCCGAGTGGGGCCGCAAGGCCGATCCCTGCAGGCCCCGAATTCGCCGAACGCCGCCCGTCAATCCCGCAAGCGGACTTGAGGTCGGCGGCAGCGGCGGCCACGGACTTTATCGCAATTCTTTCTTCGAGAAGCTTCACGTCTCGTTGCGCCTCTTCAATATGCTCCTCAGTCTTTAGGTAACAAATTCCAGGCGAATTGCAATCGCATTGTTTCAGTTCCTGGCCTCCACCCGAAGCAGCAATTCTGCCTCCCCGTTCTGGCCAGCGCACAGCGCTGAGGCTCGCCGTATGCACGCCGTCGCCGCCGTCGTTCCCGTCGTCCATACGCGGTCATGGAAGGACCAAGACTTGGATCGGGCGCGAAAGCAAAAGTCATTGAGGAAACCACATAGCGACAAGCCACTTGCTGGAGGCCATGGATGCACTTGTGTCCGGCGCTTTGGCTGGGCCGCTACCTGCACACTGCACAACACCGCGGTTGTCGAATCGCTTGACAAGTCAAGCCCAAAACGACCACGGAATGCGCCCGAGGCATCACCACCACTAGAACCAAGCGGGCAACCACAGCCCACCCTCGATCCATCAGATCTCATCAGCAAAGGTGAGATGAACGGGGATGTCGTGTCTCATGCGGAGACCCAAATTCTCAATCAGCTTGGAGCGGTTGAGAGCGAGCGTCAGCATCTCTGCGAGTACTTTTACGGCGATGCAGGCGCGGGCGGGGGGCCTCGAGTGCAGGATGAGGCGGAATACCAGAGGTGGCTGTGGCAGTCCTTCAACGAGTGGATTGAGTACATGTACCCCGACGCCAGTCGTGAATGCGACTAGACAATTGGAAGTCATGCGCGATTGCAAAGTTGTTGATACAGCGGGCTGGTGGTGTTCTTCCGGTAGCTTGCATTGATGTCTGGTGGTGTTCTTCAGGTAGCTTGCATTGATGCTCCTCTGTCGTAGGGCGGATCTGTCACAACCACGTACCCTGACTACTGCGACACGGTCCCATAGAGCTACCATTGTGATAAGCACATGTCAGTTATTCTACCTCCTTGTCCCACGGCACTCCTCACGATTGGTGTCGCCGTGTCGCGCAAGGTTGTGACGTAGCATTGCTGGAGGACGGCACGGCTCCCGTAGGCTTGACAGTTTGTCATGCACTAAAATGCACCAATCTTCAAGCTCAAGCCCCGGTCGCCACCCCGAATCTTCACTGACAAGTCCCGAGGGACAGTGGGTCCGGGAACAGTCCTGGGGCGGCGCGATCGACCCGTGTCCGGGCCCGGGATAGCATTTATCAGCCCCCTAAACCCGTAGGGCGGTGGAACGCTGAGCTTGGCTCCCGATGGCTTCTTTTCTACACGGCCGGGCGGACTTCAAGGTGGCAGTGGACTTTGATCGCAGTGCCCAAATCACAGTAGATTGCAAATCACTTTAGCGTTGCTTGATGCCTCGGTTGGCGGGAACTGTCAACCCTCCCAGGGCTGTCCACTTACCACGGTGAAGAAGCGTTGGCGATGTCGCACACATGAGACCAGACATGTTCACAGTTTCTGTAGGCGCACAACACGTGAAACCTCCCTGTCGCATTGCTTGATTCGTGTCTTTCAGTCTCGCTGCAGCTTTCTAACATATCGCCTGGTATCTTTCAGTCGCCCTTACATTTTCCTCTGAACGTCAATGTAGCGCCTCGCCCAGCGGTTGTGCTCCCATTCAAGACCCGCACACTGCAAGGACTCTGCCTCCGTCCAGCTGCGCAAGCCTGCACGAACCCAGGTTATTCGCACTCCAGGGGCACTACACAATCTCTTCCATCAGCCACCTAGAACACATATTGTTCGAAGACTAGACTGCGCAGCCGTCTTCGGGATCAATTACTTACGGCAACGTCGCACTGCACAGACAGCCATACTTCCCTGATACCCAACCTGCCGGAGTCGTGTCTCCCATTGAGCCTCAGCTCCTTGTAGTGGCACATCTGACTATGATGTTCACAGCTCTGTATGGATGTTAGAACCTTGAACATTGAGCAACAAGGTGGATTGACCGCTGGCCAATGACTTACACCGCTCTGCATAAACGCCTGGTTTTGCGCCTCCACGTAGCATTTTGCCTCGTCGGGGTCGAAGAACTCGGGGTGCCTCGATCGCGGGGTCATACTCGTGGGGTTGTATGCTGGCATCGTCGGCCTAGAAGTCCCCTAGCAACTGCGTTTCCTCTGGTGCATTCTTTTCATGGTCATCTACCTCCGTCGGGTGGTTTAAGTACTGTAGAGGAATGACCAGAAGCTCGACCCCTCCACACAGATAGAGAGTCTCCGCTCACGGCATCATCGAAACATTGAGCGCAGTGCGCTACGCACACTGCATGTGATGACCTGTGTCCTGCCGTTTCTTCAAACGCGCACGGTTCCAGAACCGGCGCGGGGCATGACGATACGAGCCTGCACGTCAACGTCGCCAGCCGCCGAAGCCACTTGCAGGCGTTGCGCCACCGCATGCAATGCATGTGTCCAGTGGGCATTGCGGAAAGTCCCGCAAGGACGGTGAAGCACCGCATCAGCAGTGTTCGCTACGGGGTTCCTTGTCGCCCCCTTGTTGGAAAGGTGCGGCGCTTACACAACACATCAATACAGTCAGGCCAGACCGGTTTGGTCGATGCCGCGCGAAGCTATTGGGTATAACACTGGCGGGGGCGTCGTGGCTTGGTCTCAAGTTTCTTAACTGGGTGCGTGTTGGTGTGGGCGCTGGCACACCCCTCAATCCAAGGGCTGGCAGTGTTGGTAGGCGCACTTCTCCAACGCTCGGTCCCACGATCCCGAACAGGGCTTCGGACCCGAAAATATAGCGTAAAGACGGCTTGTGGGGTGGTCTGTCGCCAAGCATCTCGGTGCTCGGTGTCCGGTGGATGCCATTGACAACATGAACGTGAAGACAGGGGCGGTGACCTAATCACCGATACAGCGCCGGAATATGACGCAAAAGCAGGTCACTCTATTCCTTTCGTTCAAATCGTAGTCTGTCATTTGTCGCAAGCTCATGTAGACATCGTCCTGGTGTGCGTAGCAGTATCCTTGCCAGCCTGGTGCACGTAGCAGATTGATCCCGCCAATGAACTCATTTGAACTCCTCATTGCAGCATTCATCGCACGGCGGTCTTGTCTTCCTCCATTAATCGCTTAAGAGTCATGATTTTCCAATCCGTCACGCCGATTTGTGCCCATCACGCCTGCCTGTTCATGTCGTAACCGGTTCGCCATAAGCAGTATGTTTCGCTCCCATCACATCGATCAACGCCCCGCGCTCATTTGACCTGGTACGGCGACATGGTGTAGTCCCAGGCGTTCCACATCCACCGTGCAAACTCGCGGCTCTCCTGGTCGTATGAGGTCTTGTCGACCGGCATCGAGTCCCCGTTGGGGCCGACGCATCGCCGCTTGTAGGGGTGCGCGAGGTTCTCCTGCTCGACGGGGCGAGGCGCGGGCTCGGGCGCGGCCCACTGCTGCTGGCCGTGGAGGAACTGGTGCAGCGACGCCCGCTCGTCGTCCGTCGTGCCGAGGTGGCCCAGGATCCACAGGTGGCCCGACATGTCGTTGACGTCTAATGACTCGAAGAGACGCGCTGTGTTGCACTCGCACCCGTCTTGCTCGGCACCGGTCTTCGCTCCGCCCGGTGACGTTGCGGCGGAATGGTCGTAGCAGGCTGCTGTTGTTGATGAGGATGATGATGATGTGCCGCGGCCATGATACGACTCGCCGAAGCAGTTGTGCGAGCTGTCGTCTGGGTGCATCCCGCACGAGCTGCTCATTTGGAGATGGCGCTGGCAGCCGCAGGCGCCTTCGGCAGTGCTGGGGCGCCGATCGCCGCGGGCCATGGAGCGGTTGCGGTACGCCTCCATGACGGTGGTTGCGCGCGCGTTCCACAGCGGCGTGTGTTGGACAAGGACTGTTTGCCTAGCCATGATGGACGACTTGAAGCTATCCTCGACTGGAGAGGTAAAAACTTGCAAACGTTCGACGATTTGGCAAAGAGAAGTGCCGAAGCTATGTGGCTATGGAAGGGGGCACGGGTGCAGGGGCAGCGGTGTGGTTTATAGAGCAGCCCACCTTGAGCCCCCCGCGGGGCCCCTCTGATCTTCAACAGTTGGAGATCGGCCTTGCCGGCGACAGACAACATTCTGGGCCTATTCCAACCTCCAACCGCAGGGTTTCATTGGGCTGTGCCCTGCTGGCTGGCTACATGGCTGGCAGGCTGCCTCATCACGGCCCGCGAAGGTGCTTACTGATCCCCAATGCGGAACAACAAGCACCACCCACGCAGAGCTAACTCCTAACGCCGCTGGGCCTCAAGGTGGGAAAGGAAAAAAGAGAGGGGCCAGAGGCCTGGAAACCGAGGGAAAGTTGGGGACGGACGCCGCTCTGAATGGCTCGCGGGCCTTGTGGCGCTTCTCGTCTGGTGAAGAAGGCTTTCGGCACTCCGTCCGTGGCGGCCAAGCGTCCGTTGGCGTCCGACTCCACGCGACCGAGGACCCGGAAATTGCCGTTGGAGGGCAAGCTCGTTCCTCAGCCCATGGGACGCCATCCACGCCAACCTGCATCCCCAGATGTTTCACTTTCCGCCCTGGGGGAACGTGTTCCGCACCGCCCACACGCACGCAGCCTCTGACGTACGAAGTTGTACACACACCAGGACGTCCATTCATTCATGTTGACGCCCCAGCTCTGTTCTCAGCCCGCCATTGACAGACAAGCATGCAGAGGCTCCCGGCCCTGCGCCTCATGCCCCTCGGCGGCTCCATCACGTACGGGCAGGGCTCCTCCCATGGCAACGGCTACCGACAGGCGCTGCGAGAGCTGCTCGTCGCGGACGGGCACCGCGTCCAGATGGTCGGGTCACGCACCGCGGGGACCATGACGGACAATTGCAATGAGGGCTGGCGGGGCTTCACCGTCAAGCAAATTGAGGCCAAGGCACGGAGGTCCGTCCCGCGGGCGCTGCCCAACTTGTTCACCGTCAATGCCGGCTCGAATGACTGCATTCAAGCCCTGGACCTGCGGTCTGCGAGCCAGCGCGTGACCGACCTGCTCGAGTTTCTCTGGGGGGCATCGCCAAATTCTACCGTCATACTGTCTACTCTGCTCGTCAGCTGTGACGATAACACACAATCGCGAGTGTTGCGCTGGAATGACGCCCTGCATGAGCTGGTACGGCAGGATGGCTTCCAGAACAAGAGACTAGTGCTCGTCGACATGCACGGCACGGACGGTCCACAACGCGACGATCTGGTAGACGGGACGCATCCCAACGACGACGGCTACGTCAAGATGGCAAAGATCTGGCACCACGGAGTTGGAGTCGCCATGGCCAAGGGGTTCCTGCAACCGCCACAAGCACCATGCTGAAACGGGAGGTCGAGCAGCAGTGGCACACAAAGAGGCTTTTGTTATCTATGCTCGCTTTGTAAAGACAAGGGGGCATTCGTCCTGGCATCATGTTAGCGCGCAATCTTGCATATTTTTGCTGCACGGCATTGTTCGCCGGCCGGCGCAGCCCGCATCCGATTTGATGTGTCAAAATATAACGTACCATAGGAAACAAGGTGGCAAACACTTTAATCTCGTCGGACCGGTCCGTCGCGTGGTGCACCCAGTCCAGCTCCAGAGCCGCCTTGCCAATCATGGCCGCCATCGTCAGCGGCACATACCTGCGCGCCAGACAGTCGTGCGGCCCGGCGCCAAAGACGAGCCAGTTGCGCGTCTTGGACTCTGCGTCGCCCGTGATCCAGCGCTCCGGGTCAAACACGTCCGGGTTCGGGTACGCCTCCGGGTCGTGCAGCGCCGGGTAGCACGACGGCACGACCATGGCGCCCTTGGGCACCGTGTAGTCGGGCGTGACGGGGAAGGCCTTGGTCGCGAGGTACGGCACGAAGATGACGGGCGGGCGGTAGCGCAGCAGCTCCTTGACCACGGCGTTGGTGTAGGGCAGCGACGACTCCAGCATGCCGAGCTCAAAGGGGCGCGTCTTGTCGCCGCCGCGCGCCGCGAGGTTCTCCTCCCGCAGCCGGTCGAGCACGTCGGGCCGCTGTGCGAGGATCTGGAAGAGCCACGTCGTGGCGCTGCTGGACGCATCCTGCGACGCGAAGAGAAACGTGAATATCGTCTGGCCAATCTCCTCGTCGCTGAACTCGCGGATTAGGTTGATTGGCTTCTCCGCCTCCGTCTCCCCGGCGGCAATCTTTTCGTTGTACGCCTTGGACTCCATCATGTGCACCACCCACTGGTCGACGATGCACATGGGCTCCGCCCCAGACGCCATGTTGGCCTTGCACGCGGCGGCACACCTCGTAAACTCGTCCAGCACAGCGTCCGCGATGCGCTTCCCCCGCCAGCACTTCGTAAAGGGGATATACATGGAGAAGGGAACGTTGACGAGCTCCAACGCCGCGGTAACGAGATAAAAGTCGTCGGCAATCTTCTTGACCGCCTCCTGCGAGATGTAGTCGCCAAAGAACGTCCGGCACGAGAGCGCGCAGTTGATCTCCCGGAAGAGCCCCATGAACTTGATGGGCTTCCCGCCATTGGCCCTGCTCGCCTCGACAAACTTGTCAAAGTAATCGGCGTAGACGCTCTCCTGCACGGGAAGATAGGTGCTAAGGGCGCGGTTCGTGAAAAGGCCCGTCAGCCCGCGGCGGAACTCGGCGTGGGCCTTGCCGGTGAGAAACACCCACGAGGTCGGGCGCATGATGTCGATGGCGATGGGGACGAGGCAGGGCCGGGCGAAGGCGGGCGACTTGAAGACCTTGTGTGCAATGTCCCGGTCCGATGCCAGGACGACGAATCTGTTGGGGGATGTTGTCAGTGGTCCGGAGGCGTGTGTAAGAAGGTGGCCGGCTCACTTGTGGAAGACGGAGATGCAGCTGAGCGGCCCGCTGGCGAACTGGGCGAGGTAGGCGTCGAATTTTGGGTAGAGGGCCTGCAGGAAGGGGCCCATGAACGGGATCTTGAACGTAGGCCCCGCGATGGATCCCTTGCGGATGATGTAGGCGACTGCAAGCGTGAGCCGTTGGTCTGTTGCCATGATGAAATGGCGTACCTTGATCGTATGTCATCAGCACGAGAAGTATCGTGATGGAGATTTGCAGGCCACTCCAGTTTGACAAGTAGCCCGACAGCAAGCCATCGGCCTGTGGCTGCGTGCCATTGTGCGAAACGTCGGGCACGCCATTGCCGGCAGCCAGATGGCCGTTAGCTTCTACTACTGTTGCCATGCTGGACTCAAAGGGAAACTTGGGCGTTCTCTCATATGAACGTCTCTAAGCCGAAACGGACGCGGGCTCGAGGGGGTCTTATACATGCCATGGAGCAACAAGAGACCCCAGTGCAACACAGGCGTCAGATGAAGTGGCGTTGCCCTACGGGCTCTGCGCCCGTTCTACCGCCGGAATCATCGCTCATTAAACGAATCACAACACGTCCATATGCCCAACCCGGTGACGATGCACCACTCTTCCCGCCATGCAGCCCTGGCCTCCGCATGTTCGTCTCAGTGGCATATGCCGTAAGCGTACTAGACTCCGGACGAGGGCTCAGGCTTGACTTGGAGGGTTGGAACTTGACGGGATGGATGCATTGGTGGGGTTCCACACTGTTTAAACGCCGAAATCGCCAGGAACCGCCTCTGTGGGTGCGCTGACGGAAACGCCAGCCGGAGCAGCACCAACGCCAGCAACAGCCAAGTTTGCAGCACGACACGTTGGGCCCCGGTTCACGTTGCGGAGTCTAGTCCTCTTTGGGGCTAGTCTCCAGACGCCCCTGCCGCGCCGTTGCGACCCGTCTGGACTCTCTGGAGGTTGCGTCCGAAACTACGACATGTCACGGCTCACCACCACCACCACCAACATCCAGTCTCTGAGCCGAGCCCTCCGTGCCGCCGCCGCATGTCATCGCGAACGCCTCTCTCTCATTTTTCCCACTTCCATATTTTCCCCCCTCCAAGCCATCCAAGCCATCCGAAAATATCTGCACAGGGGCAGACCCGGGCGCGACAACACCGCCTGCAACTTGTCCATGTCTTCTTGTCCTCCTCCGGCCTAGCCGCGATGCCCCGTGCTTCACGCCGCCCCAGCTAGAGTCTGGATCAGCCCACGCAGAGACATGCGCGCAACCCTCCGCAGGTCTTGCGACGCCTGTGCCAAGGCCAAGCATAGCTGCGACCTACGCTCCCCGCGATGCTCCCGTTGCGTCAGGAGGGGCGTCAGGTGTAATTATGTCAACGAGCCACTGACGGCGTCGGCGCATGCGCCGTCCCCCGCGCACAACGTGAAGGTTCTGGGTATCAAGCGCACACCTCCGCCCACCAACAACAACGCGGCCCGAACTCTGCCCTCAGCTCCCGTGTCCGCCGCTTCCATAGACGGCTCAATGGGCCTCTTGGCGCCGGCCGACGCGGCGTTTGATCCGTTCGACTCGTATCCGGCAACGAGGCTCCCGCGCGTCCATGTACAGCGCCTGATGCAGCACTGTAATCCCTCCCCCTTCCACGGACCAACTAAGTCACTTCGTCGACAGCGTTACTAACACCATCAGTCTTATCTACGATTGCCTTTCAGTATTACCCTCTAGACCTAAACATGGAGTCCAACCCGTTCGTCGTGGCGTGGTGGCCCCTGGCCCTCGCCGACCCGGCCCTGTTCCACGTCTCGATACAGACGGCGTCCCTGGACGAGGAACTGCGCGCCCGGCGCGGGTTTCCCATCTCGGAGCTATTGATGGCGGATTCAGTATCCCTTGTCAGAAGGAAGATTGCGGACTCATTATTGGCGGTCCAGGATGAGACCATGAATGCAGTGGTGACGCTGGCTGCGATCGAGGTACGCCTCCCGTCTACTCGTGCTAGTGCGTCTTTCTCACGCTCATGTCTATAGCACGGCAAGGGCAACTTTGAAGCAAGTCGGATGCACATCGATGGTGTGAAGCGAATGGTGGACGTCAGGGGAGGCATCAGCCAGGTGAAGCGGACGAGCCCCCTCACAGCACGAATGGTTCCATGGTGAGTATACGTGTCCGTGGCTGCGATTGCCGCACAACTGACGCAGCGCAGGGTATCTCTGCTCGTAACGGGTACTCCCCAATTCACAGTACAGGACGATGATGGTTTTGGTGACGGATTGAGTCCGATACCACAGTGGCGGCTGGCTCCAAGCACTACAGAGCTCGACACCGGCCCGTTCAGCGGTGCAGACATCGACCACGACGTAGCCAACATCCTCAGCCGCCTGCTTTACATATTCGAACCTCTCGAGCAGCCACGGCTAACCAACGCCGACCTGCACGACTTGACATGCTTTGCGGTACACAAGCTCTTGCTATTGCCCGAAACGCCGTCAGGGGGTGGGGCTGGAGAATCGAGCAGGCCCGCAGTATCCGAATGCCTCCGGTACGCCATGGTCCTGTACATGCTAGTCCTGCATGGCACGACATATTACTCTCACGTCCATCTAGTCATGGCCGTGGTACAGCAACTTCAGAAGCAGATCGAAGCGCTGGCCGAGTCGCTGCATCTGCACGGACCCCTGGGAATCTGGGCCGTGTCGGTCGGCATGGCCGCAGCAGCAGACATGGACGACGCGTGCGCGTGGTTCGTGGAGCAGGGTCGCTTTCTTGCCCGCGAGCTCGATCTCGCCACTTGGGACGATGTTCTCATGCAGCTGCAGAGCGTTCTTTGGTCGGAGGGGAACGAACCTCTTTTCCGGCGCCAGTGGATCAGACTGTTTGATACGATACCGTGACGCCAAAGAGCTGCTCTTAACATCCCTCGCAATCACACCTTCCGATCCCGAAACGTCGCCCGATCGGCCAGGACAAGGCCAAGTTAACGGGTCACGCTGGAGGGGGACAGGTGGCATCTTCGCCAGGCTATCTTGATTGGGCCTGTCGAGACAACGCATGTTGCAGAACCGTCGGTCAATGGACAATCTACAGCTGCGCACCGAGACACCAAAGAGCATTCGTTGAAAAGCTGGAGTGCGGGCCATATTGCTGGAAGAACACGCGTCTCTGTCACCCAGTCATGCGAACTCATCAGGAGTTGAGCGACCTTTTTTTAGCAGCAGGTGGTCTCTAAACATCATCATATCGCCGCGCCTCCCTACGACGACACCAAAAAGGGCCGCCGCGCAACGAAAAACCACTACGCATACCACTCCATATCCTGAGTGACTTGTCGCCTCCCGTCCTGCTGCCAACACCCTTCGTCAAGGCCGAGCGGCCACCGCCCTGCTACTGGCACAGCGTCCAGGCATCACTGAACCAGCAGTTCGATCCCTGCGCAGAACACTACCATACATCGCCCACACTGGTCAGTCAACAGGTACATACTGCCTACCAGCAGCCAAGCACGGTGTCGTCGACGCCGCGCACAAGTTTTGCGCAGGAACAAGCAACGTACCTGGCCGTGCGAGCAGGGCATCCAGTAGAAGTTCCGAGCCGGGCATCCGTACTTCGCCGCCTCGGCAGCGTCATGCGACTCAGCGCATATATCCCGGCCACCGACGGTCACGCACATCTACATGCACGCCATCAGCGTCTGTCTTGATCCAAGTCAGGGGTGGGACTGTCTGCAAGCTTACGCCTTGAATGCCCGCCGCTTCGACGTTCATTGGGGTTGCGTGGCTGCCGCCACTCAGGGCGAGCAGCACAGGGACGGCTATAAGAGTACGACGGAGAAGCATCCTGGAGTTCGAGTTGGATGAGCAGGCAGGTAGGGTAGGCAGCTAAAGAAGCGCAAAAGGAAAGGACTTGAAGGGGGAGGAGAGGCAGGGTCTGAGTCGAGTGTTTGGTGTCACTTCTCATACCTCGCATCCTCGTCCTCCCTCACTCTATTTATTCGATTCTCCCATCATGCTCCGTCTCTTCACTTGACGTATTCACAGCTGGCCAGCTGCCCTAGCGGTACGTAAATAGGCAGCCTTATATTAGCAATAGATCGATCGCCGCTTCACAAGTTGTCTGTGCCACAAGCTGCTTCGGTTGTGGTCCGAGCATGTTCCCAGGGTGTTCTCCTGCCCTTGGCTCGCGCCTATGCCAGTCCGCGACGCCGGATCTCAGGCCCCCAGCTACAGTCACGCTGAACCAGTGGTCTAGGATTGTCCAACACTTTCTTGCCATGGCCGAGTGCAGGTCGTTGGCCGGGTGCCACTTTAGGGCGCAGGAGCTGCATGACATGAAAGACGGGAGAAGACAAGGGAGAAACCAACAGCCTCAAGTCATTGCGGCTAAGCCGAGAAGGGACTGCCTGTGACTTATACGTAAAGCGGCAACCAACTTCACGAGAATTCTCAATGGTCATCATGCCGGACGTGATTCAATTCAAAAACATTTGCAGATTCCCGCCCACGTGCTCCAGGTCCAGCAAAAACGTGTCGTGCCCAAACAGGCTCATCTCCTCGCTCAGTTCCATGTGCGTCACGTTGCGGTTGCCCGCCAGGCGCACCGCCTCGGCGACCTCGCGCTGCTGCCACGCCGGGAAGAGGATGTCGCTCGCCACGCCCATGACGAGCGTGGGGATGTCCCGCAAGGGGGCGAGGCCGAGCACCAGGTCGTAGGGTGGGCGCGACGAAGACGGTCCGATGGGCCCGTCAGCGTCGACCTGCGACCCGGGCTGCTCCTCGTACGGTGTGGCGGGCAGCGTCAGGTTGCACTGCGCATCGGCGGGCGTGCAGGCACCGGCCGCGATGTCGCGCTGGCGGGCGGCGCGGCGGGCCTGGGCGGCGACCTGGTTCTCACGTCCCAGGTCGAACAGATCCATGGCCTTGCTCACGTAGAGCAGGCTGTTGGGATCGTACGTAAGGCACCACTTCTCGCCGGCGTGGTCGAGGTACGTCTCGATGAGAAAGTCCGGGCACAGGGCCGGGGGCTTGCTGGGGTCGGCCCGCCGCCTGCCGAAGCGCTGCTCCCACTCAGGGCCGGAGCGGTAGGTGACAGTGGCGATCTCGCGGGCGAGCTTCATGCCGGCGTGAGGCGGGATCTTGTCGTAGTAGAAGCCGCGGTTCCAGTTGGGGTCCATCATGAGCACCTGGCGCTGGGTGTGGCGCATGGCAATGCTGTAGGGGTGGCTGCGTGCGCAGCCGCTGATGGAGGCGATGCGGCCGACGCGCGACGGGAAGAGCACACCGGCGGCGAGCGACTGCATGCCGCCCATGCTGGAGCCGACGCTGGCGTAGAGGCGATCGACGCCGAGCCCGTCGAGGAGGCGGAACTGGGCGCGCACCATGTCCTGCATGGTCAGGACGGGGAAGCGCGTGGCATAGCGCTCGCCGTTGGCCGGGTCGATACTGCTGGGGCCTGTCGAGCCGTAGCAGCCGCCGATGACATTTGTGCAGATGACGTGGTACTTGTCCGTGTCGAGGGGCCCGCCAGGGCCGATGAACTTTTCCCACCAGCCGGGCTGCGGGTTCGCGGCCGTCGAGTGGGCGTGTGAAGACGCCGACAAGCCCGTGTGCAAGAGAATTACGTTGGACTTGTCGGCGTTCATCTCGCCCCAGGACTCGTAGGCGATGGTAAACTCGGGCAAGACGCCGCCCCAGTCCAGCTCCAGGGGCTCCTTGCAGTGGTAGGTCTGGGTCGCGCCCGACGTGTACGAGGGTTCGGGCCCGGACCCGGACGACGACGACGACCTGCCAGCCTGGAGCGTCTGAGAGCGCGTCTCCATGGCGTCGAGGCAGGGAAAGGCCATGGCCGGGTTGGATGGCGATGCGCCGGACCGTCGGGCTGGGGCGGCGTGGAAGCAGCGAGGAGCCGCCGCCGCGAAGCCCGCCCTCGCAGGCGTTGCTGCGGCCAGCGACCTCGTCAACCGGCGGGCCGGCGCCGCCAGTGACCGCGAAGACGCCATGGTGATTTTTGGAGTGAATTGGCACGAGCTGGAGCGAGCATCTCGTCGTCTTTAAAGAGGCGTTTGTAATCGTCGACTTCCGGGGGCGATGTCGGGCGGTCCCGCGCTTACTCATCCTCGCACACCATTTCACGTGCCTGCCTCCAAATGTGTCTCTCCTGCCTCAGTCGCCGACACGTTCTCTCACTCGCTCACTCACTCACCCACTCACTCAGCTTCAACCTCGCCCTCCCTGGCAACGCCACAAAACGCCGCTGCCGCCCGAGCAGCACCCGGCACTCGCCGCATCACTCATCAATCAATCACCAACGAGCCTGCGCATGCTGTGTCCTAACACAGTAACTATTACGAATGACAAACTTTTTACACCCGGTCCTGTTGGAGAACCGCTTCCGCCCGTGTTGAACCTCTGTTGCTTTGCCCCTTCTCCGTTCGTCCAGTCCGTGTCCCGGACCAGGTCGACGACCATCGAATTTCCCGCACTTACAGCCACGTCTTGAAGATGCGCTTGTAAATGACCTTGACAATCTGCACCTCGAGCGAGTAGCCCACGAGCTCCGCCACCAGGAAGCCCACAAACGACGGCGCCGGCCGCGAGAAGCCAAGAGCGGACCGGAACGGCGGCACCCACGGGATGACAAAGCCAATCACCATGATGGCGCACGTCGAAAGCGCCAGAGGCATCGCGGGCCGCGACTGCAGGTAGGGGATCTTGGCCGTTCGCAGCATGTGCACGATGAGCGTCTGCGTGAGAAGTCTGGGTTCGGTCAGCATCCATCTGTCAATCACACGTAGTCGAGGAACGGTCGAGTCGCATCACGTACCCCTGCCAGAACCAGTGTGCCTGGGCCATGCCAACCATGTAGTCGCTGTCGTCCGTCTTCACGCCGTAGTAGAAGTAGTTGAGCGAGTACGTGCACATGTCGAAGACGGAGCTCGTCGGGCCCAGCACGAGCGTGAACTTGAGCAGGTCCCACGAGTCCCAGCGCTTGGGCGTCGTCAGGTACTCTTCATCCATGCGGTCCCACGGGATGGCGATTTGGCTGATATCGTAGAGCAGGTTCTGCATCAGGATCTGCAGCGAAGACATCTGCACACCGCGGGTGTCAGTAAGGAACTCAGGAGCAGCAACAACATGAAGGAAGACGAACCGGTTCATACGGAAGCCAGGCGCTCGAGACGAGAACAGAGAAGACGTTGCCAAAGTTGGACGACGTGACCATCTGCAAGACCAGTTAGCCAAGTCCAGGGCATCAAGCCGCGAGTGCTCCCTCACCTTGATGTACTTGATGGTGTTGCCGTGCGTCAGGCGGCCGACGCGCACACTCGACACGACAATGTCCAGGCCCTTCTCGGTCAGGATCAAGTCGGCGCAGTCCTTGGCCACACTCGCGCCCGAGTCGACCGAGATACCCACGTCCGCCCTCCGCAGCGCCATGCAGTCGTTGATGCCGTCGCCCAGCATCCCCACGCAGTGGCCGTCCTTCTCTCGCAGCGTGCCCACGACCGAAGCCTTTTGCTGCGGCGTCAGCTTCGCAAACACCTTGCACCGACGGACGGCCTCTTCGAAGGCCTCGCCGTCGCCCAGCTGCGCGAGCTCCGGTCCCGTAATGGCCTGGACATCGTCACCCTCGGTCACCTCGGAGGGGCTAACGAGGTGCAGCGCCTGGCACACGTTGAGAGCGACGGCCAGGCTGTCTCCTGTGAGCACCTTGATCTCGACGTTGAGCTCCTTGAGCTGCGCAATGGCCGCGGCGGCGTCCTCCTTGGGCGGGTCGATGAAGGTGAGCATGCCCTCGAGCGTCATCTCGCCCTCGAGCTGGTGCAGGCCGTCCTCGTCGTGCAGCTCCGCGCCCACGAGCTTCTTCTGCGCCACGAGGAGCACACGGTAGCCCTGTCGGTTGAACTCCTCGGCGCGACGCTCAATGTCGAGCTTCTTGGCGACGTCCATGGCGACACAGATGCCGCCCTCGCGCACGCTCGAGCACAGCGAGACCACTTCCTCGAGGGCGCCCTTGACGATGAGAAGATTCTGGCCCGTGACACCGCGGACGACACACGCGCTGCGACGACGTTCGAACGTGAAGGGAATGGCAGCGACCTTGGTGTACTGCGCAACGGGGATAGGCTCGCCGTCGGACCCGCGGTGCGCAACGATGGCGGCATCGATGTTGTTTCCGTTGCTGCCCTGGATATGCGCGTCGACGGTGGCCAGCTGGAGGACCGCCACATTGTCGGCACCAGTGCAGTCAACATGGCTGCAGAGGTGTATCTCGTCCTTGGTGAGAGTTCCGGTCTGTCCAGTGGTCAGCAACCTCCGACAATTAAAACACCACGGCGCAATGGTGGATCGCACCTTGTCACTGCAAAGCACAGACATGGCGCCAATATTCTGAACCGCATCCAGTCGCCTGGCAATGGCCTTCATCTTGGACAGCACGTACGCTCCGCGAGCCAAGTTGCCTTGGACGATGGCGGGAAGCATCTCGGGCACGAGGCCGACGGCAACACTGACGCTGAAGATGGCGGCCTGGCCCCAGTCACTCTTGGTCACTGCGTTGATGACGAGAACCTGTCCCTTGTCAGACACCTTTCGCGCAGCGTGAGAGTTGAAGGGGAGTGGCAACTCACAACGGGGATCATGACAACCATGAAGCCGATGAGCATCCAGCTCACGTTGCGGATACCCTTTTGGAAGGCATTCTTCTCGCGCTTCTTCTCCAAGTCTTTGGCCATGTTGGCAATGAGGACGTCTGTGTGTCATGTCGGGTCAGCTCACGCCCGTCTAATTTCCTTGGCCTTCACCTCTGTCGTCGTCGACTTACCTTTGCCAGTTCGCAGCACAAGTGCGACGCCATTGCCCGAGACCACGCTCGTGCCCATGACGGCAATGTTTTCCTGGTCAAACAGCCCAGTCTCCTTGCCGCCGCCGACGCCGGCGACCTTGGCAACGGGCTCGCTCTCGCCGGTCCACGTCGACTGGCTGATGCGCAGGAAGGTTGACTCGAGGATCATGCAGTCGGCGGGGACAACGGAGCCAGGCGGCAGGTGGATGATGTCGCCGGGAACAAGGTCCATCTCGGCGACCGTCTGGACATCGGACGAGTGCGTCTTGCCGGTGACGACATCGACGCTCGGCGGCAGACGGCGCACGCGGACGGGCTTGCTGACGGACGACTGCAGGCGGAAGACCTTGACGTTGCTGCGGTACTCCTGCCAGAAGCGGACACCGACGGAGACGGAGATCATGATCCACATGACGACGAAGCCGGCCTATGTTCCCCATCATGTCAGTCACCCGGGCATCTTTGGCATCTTGGGGGTCCGGCTGGGCAAGCTTACCCAATCTCCACCAGGCATGGCGACCTGAATAATGGCCAGGAAGAAGAGCAGGGCGTTGAAGGGGTTCGGGATGGCGCGCAGAAAGGTCATGATCCAGGAGGGCGCCTTGTGCATGGGCAGGACGTTGGCGCCCTTGAGCTCGCGGCGGGCGTCGGCCTCGAACTCGCTCAGGCCGTCGCGCTGCGTCTGCAGGTGGTTGAGGGCCGCCTCGGTCGTCATGCCGGCAAAGGCGCCGAGCACGCTCTCGGCGGAGGCATCGCGCGCAAGCGGCGGCAGCTCGGCCCAGGACGCGCCCGAGGGCCACGAGCCGGTGCGCCGGCCGCTCAGGGACTTGCCGCCGAGGGTGAACATGGTGGACGACGTCGAGGGGTTGGACCTGCTGCGCGTGGAGGCGAAGGCGTCTTCATGCCAGTATAAGCGTGTTTCTGTCTTATTTACCGGAGGTGAGACGACGAGGGATTCTCAAAAAGAGAATGCTGATGGTTTGTGTTGTTGTTTTTCTCTCTACCCTGATCAGATCAAAGAGTCTTTCGTTTTCTTTCTATCTGCTCTTTGCACCAGAGTGTGTGAGTGTTGTGTTTGCCAGGCAAGGGGGGGACCCTATGGCGGCCGGAACCGTGTCGGTGCCAGCGTCGTCGCAGTCGCCGCCACGACTGCGTTTGCAAGTAGGAAGAGAGTAGTCTCCAGCTTCGTGGTATTCGGGGCAGCTCACGTCGCAGTGAGCTACTACAAAGAACAAGCAGAGAGGTATTTGCTTCGAGCCGACGACGCGCTTCGAGCAAAGAATGAAGTGTGACGATTAGACGACAAAAGGTCTTTTGCACCAGGAAGGAGGATCAACGCTGGTATAAGACAATTTTGGCAGCAGAGGTAGTCTCGTACACCGTGGATACACCAGACAAGCAGCAGAGATTGAGCTGGGAAAGCAGCGCAAGGTCGAGTATCGTCAACGCGTGCGATTGGCGGTGATTGATGGGAAGACGAGGTGAAGAGAAAAAAGTCAAAGGTGCAAACTCTGTCCTAGATGGCAAGACAATTCACACGGGATGGGGCAGGCCGAGGGGGAGCATTGTATGTAGTCTTCCGCGTGGCAAGCTATGGCTACAGTACCTACTCATCGGGGCCCTGGTGTCAACAAGCCAGCCGTTGGGGGGGGGCAGATTGCCTCGTTCCGGGCCACCGGTCTCGCCAAGAGGGAATGGGCGGGCGGGCCAAGGGTCTGTCGTGGCCTGATGTCTCGCCAGCCCCAAAAGGCAAAATATCACAGGCCAGTGACTCAAGACACAGCCTCCCTCTCCTCGTCTCGTCTCGTTTGTCGCGCAAATGCCTCATCATCATCAGCGACAACGGGCGGGATCGCATTGCCGCCGTCACATTGTGACGGGGGACGCAGATCCCCGGTCTGGGCGGGCGGGCTAGCTTTGTGTCGTGTCTCGCTCGCTTGTTGCCGAGATAAGCCTGCGGTGTAAGTCGCATTGTACGTGCCCACCAAAAAGGCGTGTAAGTGAACCTAGCATATGATCGCAACGGCAGACACAAATGATGCATGGCCCGACCTCCCACTCCGTCTTTCGTCTCCCTGCTCTCTTTTCCCCCGTGCCTTGTGCGCTTTTTCCTGCCGCCCACGCGTGTCTGATGAAAATCCCAGGTCACGACCGCACGACATGGTGTTGTTGCATCCATCGTGGAGGAGGAATTTTTTCCTGTCCTTCCCCCCCATCCCTTCCCTTCCCCATCGTGGCAGTGCTCGGATGTTGCCCAGCATCTCGCAACGCACGGTTCATGTCGGCGGCCGGTCCCCACGCCCGGGTCTCCAACCTCTCTCCCGCATTGCCCGCAGCGCAAGGAAAGCAGCCAGCGGCTTGGCGCCGCCCCAGGTCCTCCCCTCAAAAACTCCACCCGCATCGGCTGTCGCAGTCATACAGCACGTACTCGTACGTGGAGACGCGGATGCTGCTGCCAGTCTCGAGAGCCAGGCACCACAGAAAAAGTTGCTGCAGCGGCGGCTGCGCGGGCAACGTCCGGCGCCAGAGGGCCGGAACAAGGCGCGCGGCGGGCCCGGCGGCCACCTTGATGGCAGCGGCCGGATGGAGCAGAATGTGGGTATCGAGTGTCTACGGGTGCTGTGCCTTTTTGCCTGCCTGTCTGTCTGCCCGGCGGATCGATACGGTGCAGCATCGCAGGAAACAAAAGAACATCGAACATCGTCACCCGATGCCCGTCCGTCTCCACCCGCGCTTCATTCCTTGTCTTCCAGAATTCGCTTCCACTTACACGAGCAGGCTCCTCCTCAAAGGCTTGTCCTCCCACCGCCCTTCTCTCACAGTCACGATCCTCCTGATCCGACGGGCGCGGCTCCATCTACAGCTGCTTCGCCCCGATGCGAACCGGGCATAAACCTTGGCAAGTCTGCGCTCGACTTCTTCCTCATCTTCCCCGTCCTTTTTTTTCTCCCTTTTTTCTTCGTTTCCCTCGATCCTTCACGCGTGCTCGTAACCGCCCGCGGGGCCCGCCCCCGTGGCGCCAAGCGGGTGGTGCCTATCCATTCATTCGGTGGATGACTGGCTACGTTACTAGACAGAAACTCTATCCCAAGCCTCGGCCGTCTGGTGCCTGGGCGCGCGCCAAACAGATGGCACGGAACGACCCGCGGGATAATGAATGCGTCAGTCGTATCTGTCGCGCCGGCGCATCGCGTGCTTTTTCTCTCCTTCGATGGTGCTTCTCGGCGCCCAGATCCCGCGTGGCGCCAGCGCGTAACAGAAAGTGGCCTGTGAAGTTTGATACGCGCCCGGTTCCGCATGAAACCAACACGTCCGTCAGTACAATACAGTTTTGTGGTCCCTTGCAAACAAGTTACAACGATTGCCATCCATCATCTAGCATCATCATCATAAGGCCCTTCCCATGGTGGTATTAGTCACGGGAAGAGTAATAGTCGGTGCACGCGTGTCTTGGCGTCGTCGGCCAAGATGGCTTGGAAGGGCGACTTTTGCTTCCAGACCGGACGCCACCCCAGCGCGCCCGTTGACCGCGGCCCGGAGACCGGAGACACATTTGACACGGTCGGTCACTTGCCGGAAGCCTTTCCGCCGGCCAGGCTCCGCAGCACGTCGATGGCTCCCGGCGTCTCGTACCACGACGCAAAGTTGTACCCAACCATGAGCAAGGCCTCGTCGCGCGACTGCTGGCCGTACGGCCCGGCCGGCCGCTCCAGCACGCCCGCGTCGGGCTTCTCCACCAGTATTTTCCAGAAGTGAGGGTTGTACTTGTCGACCGCGTCATACAGCTTCCTGACCTGCCCGCGTACCGTGTCCGCGAGCCGCGCCGTCTCCTCGGGCCCGGCCAGTAGGACGTCGCGGCGCGCGCCGACGACGCTCCCGACGAGTTGGCTGCGGATCAGCTCGACAATCCCGTCGGGCACGGCGCCGCGCAGCGCCACCCTCGCGTTCTGGATGGCCCGCAGGTCGAGCAGGATCCGCACCTTGATGAGCGTCACGGCCACGGCGTGGCTCAGGGGCAGCCAGGGGCTTCTCAGCCAGCGCTCGGGCGGCTCCTCCAACGCGTTGGCGTCCTTGGTGTCGAGAAACGGGAGACTCATATCGCCCCAGTCAAAGTCGCTGTCCTCGCTCTTGGCCGTATGCCAGCTAATAAAGTCATATGCGTCCTGATCGCGGCCGAGGCGGATGTACAGGCCGGGCACGACCTGGCGCACCCCCATGTTGTCGCCGCGGCACAGGCGCATCATGTCGAGCAGGTGGTCGAGACACATCTGCACGACGTCGACGGGGCCTCCCGGTGTGCCGTAGCTCAGCAGCAGGGCGTCGACGAGGCCGTAGCGGGCGCGCATATAAGGCCGCGTCTCGAGGATGCCCCAGAAGTGGCCGACCTCGTTCTCGAACATTTTCTCGGGCGTGAGCATGTCGCCGGGCATGTCGCGCAGCTTAACGTACTCGCTCTCGTAGTGGACGCGCGCCTTCTTGATGACTTTGCAGGGGATCTTGTGGTCATCGCGGTCGGCCGCCTGGCACTCGCGCCCGCAGTAGTAGACGGCCTGGCAGGCGGTGCAGCGCTTGACGTCGTCGCGGCGGTGGCACAGCTCGCAGGCCCGCGGCGCGAGGCCGTTGAGCTTGTCGAGCTCGGCGTTCATTATGAGCGGCATCTTGGGTGTGCTTCTGCCGTTGCGTTGATGGAGGAAAAGTCAAAGTCAAACGTGGCCCAGACGCGTGCGACAGGAGACGCGTCGCGATTAATTGAACACGGCGCTTTTAGGCGTTAGGTGGTGTTAGTGGTTGTGCCTGGACCCCTGAAGGCTATAATCTCAGCGGAGAGGCACGCTAACTCACGTACCTGCAGCACTTACCCCACAGTGAGCCTCTCAACTGCCGGGCCGGTCATCCGAAGCCCGGGGTGGAACACCTGAAGACACCTGGAGTCCTGGACCCTGCAACACCACCTCCTCAACTCCATCGCCCGCTGGCCATGTTTGAAGTTGTCATCACGGCGGATTCCTCTCCTCGCCCATGCCTTTTGACACATAACGTCAAACGCTCAAGAATACTCTCGAGGACACGAGCTATTACTACCGCAGAGTTACGCAGCCGTCATTCACATCCGCTGTTTGGAAAGACCGAGTCAGACTACGACATCAGTATAACGGGACTTCATCACATTTGCTGCTCTGCAAAGGGACAAAGGTGCGTCTTCATTCCGGACGAATACTCTTACTCCTGTACAGACCCCGCGCATGTCGCCAGCCGCCCGTCTTTCGCAAAACGCCAAACAAATGCCCAACAAATGCCCAACAAACGCCATGCCATGCCATCCCATACACCCGGTGAAAACGCCGTCCGTCCATCCAACTTTGTCCGTCCCACGTTTCCAACGCCTACAATGCCACGCTCTAGGTGAGAAAAAACACGCCGCGCCGCGCCTAGTCAAAATTAAAGTCGATCGGCTCGGCCGCCTCGCCCTCCAATGTAGTCGGGTCAAAGTTCATCAGCTCCTCCATGTCGTCGCCGAAGTCGAGCCACTTCTCGTAGTCAAAGTCCGGCTCCGCGCCCTTGTACGGCTCGCGGAACACGACGCCCTGCAACAGCAGCGAGGGCTTCCATCCGCGCTCGGCGCGCAGGCCCTCGAGCGCCGCCGCCATCTCCTCCATCTTGCCGCTCGCCAGGGCCGCCAGCTCCGGGAGCGCCATGGGCTCGCCGCCCGCGCCCATCTCCTCGATGGTCATCTCGGGCGCCACCCAGCCGTGCAGCGCGTCCATGCCCGTGCCCAGGCACGCGACGGCCACTTCGGCGCCCGGCACGCCCGTCGCGCGCGCCTCCTCGGTGAGTCGGCGCAGCAGCCGCTCCGCGACGCAGCGCCCGCACGCGCGGCCAATCTTCTCCCAGCCGAGCTTGAGCATGCCGGGCTCCAAAGGCGGCTTGGTGCCCGCCGGGACGCTCGCGAAGGGCACGCAGTGCGCGCACTCGGTCGTCGACGAGGGGGCCCGGGTGCTGCGCCGCCAGATGCACGATCCGCAGCGGTCACACTCGGACGCCTCGTCGTAGGGCGCCGCCGCGTCGAAGCAGCGCTGGCAGAGGATGTGGCCGCACGGGAACACGTACTGGAACTTGCACGGGTTTTCCTTGGCCTCGGCCCGCTCGACGAGGTTGCCGTGGCAGCGGAGACAGGCCTTGGCCCGGTGGTAGATGCGCTGCGCCATGGAGTGCTTTTGACGGAGGCGTCGCTGATTCTTGCTCAATGTCAGTGCCTCCTCTGGAGCACTCATGACGGCGAGCTTCGTCGTGGATCTCTCGCTGTGGACAATAAGACGCACTCACGTTGATCCTTGCGCTGATCGTATCCCAGGCTACCAAAAGGCCGGTCGAATAGATATGTCTTTGCTCGCGTCAGGGCCAGGGTGGTTGACCAGTGCGCTAGATCGTCCTGAGGTTCGCGAAATCCCGATGAATCTCCTTCGCCTGTGCAGTCTGCGTGAGCAACAGCTTCTTGCTCCATCGAAACCAGAGAAAACAAACTTTGTTTGTAGACGCGATAGTCTGTGCCGCGAGTTCGATGTCGGTATCGACGCTGATAGTGACGATAATGGCGATGAGGTGCAGTCAACCTTCAGGCTTTTCAGGCTCGTGAAACTTTCAACACACCGTGGTGTTTTCGCTCGCTGCGTCGCGTTGGTTTCGTCTGCTTCCGATCTGTTTTCTTCCCAGGTCGCTTGCTGGATCGAACGGGAGAAGAACGAGGTGGAATCGATCAAAGAAACGAGGAGAGACGGCCGTCAGGGGTAATATATCCTCAGCTCGCGTTTCGTACTGGATATGACTCGTGGTGACTGATTCACTGTCTGCGCGTAGCGTTGTGTTACGTTTGTGAGAATGCAAGAGAGAGGGAGAGTGGGAGAGAGGGCGGGAGAACGCGAGAGGAACTGGGGAGGTTGCGGGAGTGAACAACGGGAAACGCGTCGCCTGGCCCTCCGCGAGGGACAAAACAAATTCACGCGCGGAGGGGGGACTGGGCTGAACGGACTGAACGGACGGAACATGAACATGAACAGCTGCGCGCGGCTGGCTGCGGTTCGCCCGGGCAACGCCAGGCAGCTCTCACGGCAGAAGGGCTGGGCATGAACACCTGCGCCCGCGCTGTTCGCGCGCTGTAACCACATATCCACAGGCGCTCGAACATGAAGATGAGCAGCCGCCTGTAGCCAGCTGCGCAGTCACCGTTTGCTCCCCGCCCTCCTGAGCCGTCACTCTCTCCTCGTCAGTAAATCACTGGTGAACACGATCAGTAACTGCATGGCAAACGCTAAGTATATACCTGGAAATTTGAGCGAGCAGTACTTCCATCGTAGCACCGTAAGGTAACCCTCTAGTGATATCCCACCCATACCTAACCATGAGGGTCGTCCCAATCAATCCCATTAGTGACCCAATGACAACACCTTTGCCCTCCCGCCCGCTATTCCTTCCCGCCCAGGAGATGATGATGATGATGATGATGATGCGGAGTGGTGGTCAAACCCGGTAATTTCACAGCGGTGGCCGCGCTGCGGTGTCGTGCCTGTGTCCAGACTACCGGTTCTCGACGCGCCAAAACTTCCAGCCCTCGCGCTCGCCGCCGTCGCCGTGGACGCCGACCAGGCTCTCTACGCCCTTGGTCCCCTCGGCGTTGAGAAACTTTTCGACATCAATCTCCATGCCGCCCTCTCGGTCCTCCTCGGTGCCGTTCTTCAGGACCGCCGGCCAGAGCACGCCGACGCCATCGCCGCCCAGAGTCGTCTCAAACTTTTGGTAGTTTTCGTCCACGAGCTGCTTCTCGAGCCGGCGCAGCTTCTCCGGAGACACGTTTGGTCGCATGAGTGTGATGGAGCACCCGCCGCCACCGGCACCCGTCAGCTTGGTCCACCCGATGCCCTGGTGGTCGACCAGCTCCCTCACCCTCTCCAGACGGGGATGTGACACGCCCAGCGAGACCAACAGGCCGTGGTTGATGGTCATGAGCTCGCCCACCCGCCTCAGCGACTCTTCCTCCTCCTCATCAAAGTCATCGTGCTCGATGAGCTCGGCCGCACTCCCGGTGACCTTATCCATCGCTTCCAGGATGGTGCCCACCAGCTTAGGGTGCGTCTCCTTGAGCTTGAGGACCTTTGCGACCTCGTGCTCGGTCGACTTGGGTTGCCGCGTGTCGACCAGCAGGAGGGAGAGCTCGGGAAAGTCCCACAGCGGTCGCACCGACGGGGGCTCATTATAGTCTGTCCGCCGAAAGACGACGGCCTTGCCCTGGGTCGCGACAGTGTTGTCCACGCCCGATGGGTTACCGTGGATGCACATCTCGGCGACAAAGGCCCACCTGTTGATGCGCTCGATCTGCAGCCGCGCCTCTTCGTGTGGCTGGTCCGGGTGCGGCCCAGACAACGTCCGCAGCTGGATGAGCAGGGCGGCGGACAGACAGACGGACACGGACGCGCTGCTCCCGAGGCCGGCGCTGACTGGTATCGTGGATCGGAGGGTATACAGGCATCCGGGGAAGGACGGCGACCCGAGCGAGAGGAAAAGGTAGAGGAAGGCGAAGGCGGAGTTACGCTGGACCTTGCGAATCTCATCGGGCAGGTCGGCGCCCACGACGCCAATGTGCGGCTGCAGGGCGGAGACGAGTTCGGGGTCGAGCTCGGTGACGAGGGAGTAGTACGACTTCTTCTTGGAGGGTTGTTGGAAGACATTCCACGGCAAGTCGTCAATGTTCCAGGTATGGATGAGGTCTATGTCGGGGAATCGCAGCGAGACGGTCCGCTTCGACTTGGAGAGGGTCGTGACGTGGAGGTACGAGCGAAGGGAGATGGCAGCGGCAATGGCAGCCTGCAGGGGTCGCGTCAGTAACCGTCCCAGCGTCGCACAGTCCGGGCCCGACAGCGGCGGCATCGCGGGCAGCTCACCTTGCCGTGGACGACCGAGTGCTCGCCAAACACAATGACCTTGCCCGGCGCGGACACCATAAAGGCCGGGGCCATGGGGCTCGATTGCTTGCGGTCCATCTTGAGGCGGTGGGAAAGGGGGCCGTTGCCGTTCACGTACGACGTCCCATTGCTGGAGGAGCCGCGGGAGTCGGCGGCGCCGTTGAGCATCTTTGGCTGCCGGACGGACATTCGGCAACCGGCGTGACGGGCGGATGTGTACTCGCGCAGGTGATGCGACTCGGGTCGGTTCTATCGTATCGCGAGGCGGGAGCCCAGGCGCGGCGCGGGTCGCGAGCGAGGTGTCGTCGCACAGGCGGGGATAGCGGTACCGTCCTTCGTATCGGCCGTCGCAGTAATCGCCTTCTCGTCGTCGTCGTCGTCCTCGCCGCAGTCGTCCTTGGTCACCGTCGGGCACAGGCAATGGGGAATGTAAGTCAGGAGGGGGGCCACGCATGGAGGTGGCAGAAGGGAACCTATGGGACATAAAAGTGGTGATGAATGGGGGGCGGTGCAGGGGGTCCGCTGGTCGCTGCAGAGCCACCCACCACCCATGCTGACGGGCATGGCATGGCATGGCAGGCCGCCCGGGCCCAGGCACGGCGCCCAAAAGGGGACCAGGTCGCATTAGGCCAATCCAGCGGCGCCGTCGCGCATCACAGAAAAAATGGAAGTTGCCGTTCCATTCTTCTGTTCTTTGCCCCCGCACTGGTCACGCCCAACAACAGGCAGACCACGGTAACTTAGTAGCCGAATACAGACACGCATCATCATCACCGTGGCGTTGCACAGAGAGAGAAACAAAAGAGAGGGCCCGCCCCTTCTACAGCACACCTCACTAGTCCTGGAAAGACCTCAATCTGAAGGTCCTGTGTCGCGCCTGCTTGCAAGGGGATCCGGCCGGCCAGGTTTGTAATTGCAGGCGTTCGATTGGGGGCGCTTCCGGGGATGTGGGTGGGCGGCTTTGGTGGAGGAGGAGCCGTAATACTCGATCGCCCGTCCCGTCGTTTGGGCCTCGACACCAAGTACTCGACGAGGCGTCGTGCTACGCTATCGTATGAGCTGTTTCTTTGCTTGGGACACAATGTTTCAATCCGATGCCCGGCGGGCAAATCAACGGATGCGATGCGCGTCAGCGTGTGTCTCTCTCACTCACTTATGCCGTCAGACATCCATCCACGGTCCTTCCTTCCCCCAACCCACAACCACAACCAGCTGCTGCCACCACACCACCACCACAACCAGCAAACGACGCGTCAACGGCAGCGCCCCCGCGGCCGTCTCGGCAGCGCTAGCGCGAGTTCCTCGACGCCCTCTCCTGATCGCCCCCCCGGCGCCGACGTCCTGGGACTCGGCTGGCTGTCCTGCTTCCCATTACGCACGCCGGCGTCCCGGTGCCGCAGCGGGGGCTGATGCAACACAACGCAACGCAATGCTGCATTGGAAGAGTGCCTGGAGCACCGGCCACCGGGAGGCCTGCGCTGGCTCGAATGTAGGACCCCATCGTGCGATTGCTGTTGCAGTGAAGAGGCACCGCACGCACACATGGACGATGCTCCACTCCAGACAAGCCCTGACATGTTGTTGCGTTGTTGGCGGCTCGGAGGCATGGTCCGTTATTTAGTTAGTCGTCGCCCAGCGGGCGCATTGTTGGCGGCCGCTCGCTCAGCTGCGCATACGCAAACGGCATCCCACGAAACTCTGCTCCCTTCAGCCCGCTCCGCAGCAGCGACGTCACCCAACTTTCCAATCAACGCACTGCAACGCCGTCGTACGAAGTACAGTATCCTCTGGGTATGAGAGCCCTCTGTACATACGTGTAAATATTGTAGGTCCGCATAAAACGCCTGGGTTTCCACGGGGAAGCTGCCCCGGTGACCCGCGGACGGCCCAACTCAGGCCCGATTCATCAGCATCACAAAACCCAAGCCATCCCGCCGTGGGCAAAAACTCGTGCGACGCGGGAGGCTTGATGCCGCCGACCCAGCAAGGGCCAAGCATCAGATTCGCCCCGGCCGTCGTCGACGCGCGCCTGAATGGTCAGCGAGCGAGGGGGGGATCGAACAGGCACCCGACTCGCCCTCTTTGGCCACCCACGTTCTGACGAGGATGCGGGGAAGCCTATTGACGTCCTGGGACGGCCGCATCTCAGAGTGTAGGTAGAAGGCACCGAATCGGTCCGCCCGTCCATGATGCGCACACTCCCGCTGCTCCGGCCAGCACGCACGTGGGCAGCGTGAACAGGCAGGCCCCAATACCCGCCTGAAACGGAACGCAGGAACGGCGGCAGCAGCAGCAGCAGCAGCAGCAGCAGCAGCAGCAGCAATAATAAGCCCCGGCTGGGCCCGCCTGCGTCCGTGTCAAGTCGTCAACCACCTCCCGGATGCCGGCATGACCCCACGAGTGCGGCTGGCCGCAGCTGGAGCATCATGGCATTTGGGCCCCGGGCTTTATCAGCAGCTGCTGCTACGGCGGGTGTTGCGTGACGGGACGCCTGGAAAGCAGACGCCACACTGTCCCTCCGCCTCGACGCTCCCGCCTTTGGGCGCTAAAAAAGTCAAACTGCACTTAGCCAGCAAATAGAAGGACCCCGACGGCTCTGCATCCGTTGAACGCTGCGTTGCGAGCGAGCGCGCGGGGTGGGTAGGATGCGCCAACGGCCGCGCTGGGGAGGCGATCTGCTGCTGCTCCTCCTGCTGCTCGGCGGCGGCGTCGTCGCGTGCGAGCACAGCCCTGGAGGCTCAAAGGCAATTGTGTCTGTAGCAGGTGACGGTCGGTGAGGTACCAGAGGCAGCCCCCTCCGCGTGGGCTGCGACGTCATTCCAACGTTGCCTACGGTAGGTATAACTACCTTGCGGTACCGTCGCCCAGCGCGGCAGCGCCCTCACCTTGCGCGTACCATTGATTTGCGCCGGCCCACGATACCCATACCTGACTTCACTTTACTTGCGTACCTACGGCTCGCCCGCGTCTTCCTTTCTACTCGTCAGTCAAGCCGCCGTCCGATCGACCCGAGACTCTATAGCGCCAGCAGCAAGCACCAGCAGCACCAGCAGGAAACTCGCCCGCGATGCCCGTCACGGAGCTCGCCATCCTCAAGCTGAGGGGCGGCCACGACCAGCTCGAGTTCCTCGAGGCCCTGATGGAGGTGCAGGAGCTGCAGGACGAATGGATACACGAGAACAAGCCGTGCCACCTCGAGCCCAACACCAACCTCAGCAGCATGTACATCGAGGAGGCCGACCCGCCCTCGCTGCTCATCACCGCCCCCTGGGACTCGCCCGAGGCGCACGGCGAGTGGATCCAGAGCCGCGAGAACCAGGACTGCAACGGCAAGCTGTCGCAGTACATCCGCCCGGGCTGCGACTCGGTCCTCATGTTCCACATGGACGCGGCCGGCGGCGCCCGCAAGCAGATGCGCCGCCCCTTTGAGAACCAGCGCAGCTTCAACGTCTGCCGCCTCAGCGTCGACCCGGCCAAGCGCGACGCCCTGCAAAAGGCCTACCGCCACCTCGAGGAGCAGTCGCGCGTCGAGCCCGGCGCCGAGCCCAAGGTTTGGGGCGGCTGGCGGATCGAGAAGTCGGGCGAGAATGAGGACCTGGTCGTCTTTTGGAGCGACGAGGTGCCCCACGACCGCCTCAAGCCCCTCATGAGCTTCACCGACGACATCATCTGTCGCCGCTTCACGCACGTGGTGTAGGCGGCCACGTGGACAACGGAGGGAACGCTTGGATCAATGCTGGGATTAGCAACCAGGAGAGGGGAGGGTTCTTTTTCACGGGGGACGGTCGACGATGCTTGGCTTCGATGATATCCTGCGCAGACGGGGGAGGGCAGAGCAGAGCTGGCGTTTGTTGCGTATGTGTATGTGTGTGCCTCAAAATCGTTCTTTTCAACTCTATTCGAGAGCGCGTTCTGAGAACATGAAATGCAAGGTATCCCGAGACGCCTATTCGTGCATGTTTGGTTTCCTCCTCCCACGCCCCAGATTCACCTCCGCCATTTTCGCCCGTCGCTACCGCATGTCGTCGGCCCCTTAGTTCTTCTTGGAGGAGACGTCGGCGATGTGCAGGTCTACCAGAAGTGTCAGCAATCTAACGTCCCAAATCAATTGCCTCTGTCGTCGTCGCGGTCGATGACGAGGGCGTAATCGGAGGGGCCGCGCATACTGGGAGGCAGGCTCTGCTTCAACTTCTCGGCCTTCTCGGTGTCCTTGAGCACCAGGGTGTACAGGTGCTTCTGGCAGCGGACCTTGAACTTGACGTTGTTGGCCTTCTTGTTCTTCTTGATCCGCGCGGCTGTATGGGGAAAAAACATCCGTTAGAATTCCTCGTTCTTTTCTTCTCGTTTCGCAATCGTCGGCGCAATTCTCGCGGACTCGCGTTCGCCGGCGGCGGACTCGGGGCAGCAAAAAACCTACAGGAAGCGTCCTTCCGACGGCAGATCTCGATGAACTGGAGACACGCAAAAATGTCAGTACCTCGTCCTGAATTGGCAAAAAGGCCGCACCGAGCAGGCAAGATCGTGAGCCCGTACCTTCTTGATATCAGCGACCTCCTTAGGCATTTTGGCGGTGTTTCGACGGGACTGTTGGGGAGGACAGGGTCTTGAGCAGCGGGAGTTGCGATTTGGGATAGATTTTGGGAATTTCGTTTTGTGTGCGCAGCTTTTCGCGGGGCGGGGCGCACGGGCCACCTATCTGTGGCTGGGGCGGCGGCCGGCAAGCCACACGCCGGTGCCGCCAGGCTAGGCATGCAGGATCGGGGGATGAGTCGCCGCGTCACTGTGGCGTGGCCTCAACGGCGTCCAAGGGTCGACTGAACACCTTTCATGTGAAGAGCATACGTACGTCGAGCAATAAGGCCGGTATATAATCAGCCGGCGAGTACGACGGACGTCTGTTATTCTCGCTTGCTCCATCGCATCCAAGGATTGAACTGCAGACGAAGAGCCGTTTCGCGCACCGCCACACAGCTACCCTGTACAAGATGCCGACTGCAATGGATCACGCCATGAAGTCCAAGGTACGTCGATTCGGGGCACAGAATGCTAGAGAATGGATTTAGAGATTGTCTGTGCTAATGTATTCGTCATGTTGTGTAGAATATGGTTCTAGGTTGGTGACCTGGAGTGCAGGATTATGAAGTGCATGTGTGTTGACATGTCCCAGCTTTCGGTGGAGTCATTGCCGCAGCAGCAGCTTGGACAATCTGGGGAGGCGACATGTTTCCAAGGGAGCCGGACCCTAAAGGAGACCCAGAGACCTGGACGAGAGAGGAAATGAGACGATGGCTGGCGGCGGTACGCGTGCTCCTCGCGCCGAAGACTGATCATATGGTACTGACGATATTGGCAGCGGAACCTTTTCCCCAATGGAGACGACACGAGAGAGGAGCTTCTAGCACGAGTGTTGGCCAACATGAGGGCACCAAGGAAGTGAGAGACACAATAAACACGATTTATGTCAATCACTCCATCTGGAAGCATGCTTCACGAGCACTGGCGACTGTTTGATGATAGAGAGCACCTCTGCCAAGTCCACCTGGAGCAGCGACTTCAGATCAGGCAGCGTCGTTTCGAGACAGTCACGCACTGAACAGGGGAATACCCATTTTGCACATAATCTTCGGGCCAGTCCATCTTTGGCACCATCCCTCCACGTTGACCCAGCTATGGGCAGCATTGTTCTCACAAGCCCAACGCTGCTGCCTGTCGCAGAAAACAGCTGGCTTTTACTTGGTGGAGCCTTGGGGGTGAGGGGCGAGCGCCTTGATGTGGGGAAACCTGGAAGGACTATAAGGGAAAATAGTTCAGCGCTTACCAAGCTCGAGTGACGCAGCGGTTAGCGTGTGAGATTGCAGATCTTAAAGTCGCTGGTTCGAATCCGGCCTCGAGCTTACCAACTTTCATTTTTTGCGTTTTCTGCCTCTGGCTCTGGCTCAGCTTCCATGCTGGTTGTGGGGGGGAGTCTTCTTTTTTGGTGTAGCCGGGTGCTGAGTGTGTCCGGCCAGCAATGCAATGGGTTGCAGCGGAGGAGGGCCTGAGTAAGGACAGGCGGTGCATTCGTGACACAGCATCGACAAATCGCAGCCCCTACCTTGGGTGATCCTACTGCGCTGAATGGCGGCGGCGGGTGTCCTGGCGTTGGCTCGCAGCTTGTTTTTGGCATTAAGTTTGGTTGGGCCGCCCATTGTCACCTCCCGTAGCTTTTGGCTGCACCGCTCTTTCGGCGCTGCATGCGCAGCTTGTTGTGAACATGGAACCTACAACTCTGCGCTTCTACACTCTGCCCTGCTTCCTATAAGAGCTCATTCCGTCCCTGCTGGCCCCTGCGCATACCGATACTGTTTATCCCATTGCAAGGAGAGGCTGGGATCCGGCGCGCCCGGACCTTGAAGACTGGGGCTGACGGCTCGATCAAATCAACAACGCCGGGGCGGTCCTAGCCGTATTGATCCATCCATCCATCCCATCGCACGTGCCGCTGACGGCAGACGGGCGGCGGTGCGACACCTCAACTGATCAGCGGCGGGCACGGCAGCCTCGACGCTGCATCGTTCCATTCACTCTCATCTCTGCGCCCCGACCGTCGCCGCCGTGTGCCACGCCCGCCCGCGCCCGCGGTATCATGCAGCGCTGGCTTCGGCGTCCGACGCAGACAGAACCGCCCTCGACGACTCAATCGCACAGCGACGCCGGCCGTCGCCGTACATGACCGCCGCGAGCGTCGTCGCCCGGACAGGCGTGACGGCCACCACCACGACCACCACCGACCGCCATCGACCTCAATCATGGCGTTCCTCGAGGACCCGCGGCTGCGGCAGCGCTGGAACCAAATCGCCCACGACGCCGAGGCCGTGACGGAGAACGCCGCCGCGGGCATCTGGTCCTTCCAGCACAACTACATCAACCCGTGCTTCGGCTCCATCGCCGACTCCATCGAGCAGTGCACGACGGTCTGCCTCGGCGACCCGGAGGAGCGCCTGCGCCGGCGGCGCGAGCGCGAGCGCACCCACGGCGCGGCCGAGTACAGCTTCGACTTCTACGACGACTGGTACGAGGAGGAGAACGGCGCTGGCGGCGGCGGCGGAGGCCTGCTCGGCAGCTGGGGCGGCGAGGACTGGGACCGCCTCCTCGCGGGGACGGGCAGCGCGCGCAAGCATGCCGGCGGCGAGACGACGGAGCAGCCGCGCCGGAAACGAGGCATGAGCTACGGCACCAGAGGCCCTCGCAGGAAGACGACTGAGCAGGACCCGACCATCATCCCCAGCACCCAGCCCATCGGCTTCCTCAGCAAGCTGCCGTGGAAGATGGGCGGCACCCTGCGGTACAAACCGAGCGCCGCCGACCTGCAGGAGCATCCCGGGAAGCACGATCACGATCACGGCCACGGGCTCGCCGAGTCGGAACCCCTTCTGGGGCCCGACACCAGCTCGGATTATCGTCCGCTACACGTGGCGCGCCAGCGCAGCGGGACGACTGGCTCCGGGGACACGTCTGATTCGTACCGCTCCCGCGGCGACCTGTTTCCGAGCGACGGCGAGGGCGACGAAGACGCCGTGCCCCTAGACGACGAAGTAACCTACGACATGATACGAAAGGACGACCGCAGCAGTGGCAAGACGTCACGGACGCGCAGCAGCAAAGGCAAGCGACCGGCGGAGGGTCTGGCCACATCGAGGACGGTCTCGAGGACCACGCTGGGTTCCAGCATATCGGGCGAGTCGCCCGAGCTGGACCGCACGTTGAGGTCCCTACCTGTCACGCCCGACGTCGAGAACGTACCGTCACTGGAGGACCTCGAGCGGGAAGAGGAGCGGCTACGACAAGAAGAAGAAGAGGAGGTCGCTCGGAGAAAGGAAGCGGCAAGGCAACTGGCAGCCCAGAAGGGGTTGGGAACCGATCCTGGAAGTCATACCAGACCGGGGGCGAACGCCGACTTCTCCGAAGGAGTGCCCGAACCCGAGCCTCTTGTACATCAGCAGGACATCAACGGGCAAGGCCCGGAAGACCGAGGCCGCAGGAAACCTGATGATGATACCCACACCCGGACGCCAGCAGGAGATGACGTTGGGCGACGAGGCGGCGAGACGAAAGCGGCACCACGGGAGCCCGTCTTCCACGCCGCGCGGCTGCCCAACTTTGGGTGAGGCGGAACAACATTTCGCGTCTTTTTTTTCATTCGATGGTGTATTAATTGGCGGCTGCCCTCGTGCAGGACTTGATTTGATGCAATGCGATGCGATACGGCATGGCTGGCTACGGGCTTGGGTGCCTTGTACGACATGAAGGCACGACGACGACGACACGTGGGGGCGGAGGGAGCGCCGCGTTTGATACCATAGCGCGCACATGCTTGCGGAAATGATGAAAGAGACGAGTTGGAAATATTGGATCGTTGGTCGTGAGAAGCGCTGCGGCTGGTGCTGCTGCTGCTTGCCGTGTTTGCCGGGCGTCCCGCGCCGTTGAGTGACTGGCGATGGTGTTGGAGTCTTGACAGCTGATGTGAGGTCGGGTGAAGCTCGTGACGGGTCCGTGCTGCGATGCGGTCGGCTGTGCGCCATGTCTCATTGTTGCCGATGCCGCAGGAGACAGTGCATGACATGCTCTCATCACAGAGCAGCTGTTGGCAGGCCACGGTGAATGCACGTACACACGCACTTTGCACGTACAGGCGTATGTATGTACTGTACGCCACCGGCACGTCATGACGGGTTTCATGTACACGCGGCGAGGCGTTGCCGAACAACCTAGAAGAGTGCATGTATAATGGCTGTCGATGGCATGTGGAGATGGTCCGGGCCCCAGCTGCAGCTGTCGTCGTGTGGACAAACAGCCCGCTGGCGAGCGCTTGAGGTGGTGGGTTGGGGGACGCGGTCCGGGGGTTCGGGGCGCTGTCAGCACCCGCCCGGGGGGCGTCACTGACACTGCCGTGGGCTCCAGCTGCCATCAATTGTCCGAACAGCCCTGGGGGCACACCTGTGGACATCAGTGGCTGTCCCCTCCCCCGTGCGCGGGCAGCCGCACCACCTGCACCACCAACGCACGTCGCCAGCGGCCGACCTGCCGAGGCAAAGCCTCGGTTCCCCGCACCCTGGGCCGCCTCCCCCAGCGCCCCCAGGCCCCCGTCCCCGCTCCAGGCTGAGTGTCTGCTGCCCTGGCCCTGAAAGCGGGCAGCGTCCCATGCACGTCTTCAGTGAGGTGCGGGAGCGGCTCGTACGGATTGCGTGGTCACTCCGTCCGCCCCGTTCGCCGATGCGCGCGATGCAACGGGCGTTGCACGAGCGAGTTGTTGAAGAAACCGAACCGCGAACCCTGCTGGGCGGGGCGAGCAATGCTACCTACTTTACTTCATATGATTGCCGCCGTCGCTCGCAACTGCCCTCCTCCCGTTCTGCATCATATTTTGCTCTAATCTTTTCGCACCTTTGATACGTAAGTGTTTTCGTCGCCATCATTGCTCGACTGTCTTGGGCGGCGCTCTAACAAGGAAACAACAGCCAGAACCCACCCCAATATCGTCAAGCCGTTGCGCGCCGCCCTCCTCCCGTTCTCCTTCCACCCACCCCCTTTTCGTCCTCTCAGTGAAACAGCAAGCATGGCGCCCTCCGGCCCCATCACGACGCCCTTCACCCAGCTGATGGGCATCAAGCACCCGGTCGTGCTCGCCGGCATGGCGCGCACGTCGGGCGGCGAGCTCGCGGCGGCCGTGTCCAACGCGGGCGGCCTGGGCGTCATCGGCGGGTTCCAGTACACGCCGGACCAGCTGCGCGAGATCGTGGCGGAGCTCAAGGAGAACCTCAAGAGCCCGGACCTGCCGTTCGGCGTGGACCTGGCCTTGCCGCAGATTGGCGGCAGCGCGCGCAAGACCAACCACGACTACACGGGCGGCAAGCTCGACGAGCTCATCGACATCACCATTGAGAGCGGCGCCAAGCTCTTTGTGTGCGCCATCGGCGTGTGCCCCAAGCCCGTGACGGAGCGCCTGCACAAGCACGGCATCCTCGTCATGAACATGGTCGGCCACCCCAAGCACGCCGTCAAGGCGCTCGACGCCGGCGTCGACATGGTGTGCGCGCAGGGCACCGAGGGCGGCGGCCACACGGGCGACGTGGCCAACTCGGTGCTCATCCCGGCCGTCGTCGACGTCGCGCGGCGGTACAAGCCGCCCATGCTCAAGGGGTCCACGGCGCTGGTGCTCGCCGCCGGCGGCATCCACAACGGGCGCGGCCTCGCCAGCTCGCTCATGCAGGGCGCGACGGGCGTCTGGGTCGGCACGCGCTTCGTCGCCTCGGTCGAGGCCAGCAGCAGCGACGAGCACAAGCAGGCCATTGTCGAGTGCGGCCACGGCGAGACGGAGCGCACCCTCGTCATCAGCGGCCGGCCCATCCGCGTCCGCCCCAACGACTACATCCGCCGCTGGCACGCCCAGCCCGAGCGCATCAAGGAGCTGTGCGACAAGGGCGTCGTCCCCATCGAGCACGACCTCGAGAGCGAAGTCGACGACATTGACCTGCCCCACCTCATGGGCCAGGTCGCCGGCTCCATCACAAAGGTGCAGCCCGCGGGCGAGATTGTGGACGAGATGGTCGCCGAGGCCGTGGACACGCTCAAGACGGGCTACACGTACCTGACAGACAAGAGCAAGCTGTGAGGAAGCGAGGCCGGTTGGAATGGACACTGTAACAATGTATATGCGGGATCAGACAGCCAAGCAGGCATTGAAGGCTTCTTCGCGTGCATTTGCATATGCGGCATGAAGTTTGTTCAAAATCTTGACAGTCCGCCGGGCGCTTGAATAGCCCATGAAAAAAAAAAGCACAGAAATTGAGACGATTAACGCTACGCATGCTATGGACAATCATAAACAGCCTTTGCATGTGAAGATGATGACACCAAGGGTCAGCGGTGATTCATCGCCAGTGCTGCTGATGGTGTTTTGGCGCAGAAAATCGTTCCCGTCCTCTCCAGTGGATGGACGGACCCTGGATGCACGGACCAGGTGGCGTCCCACTCGCACCAATACAATTTAATGTGGGGCGCCGCCCGCATGTCCGTCCTCTCTGAGGCGGGCGGCGGCGTGGGAACTTTTTTTTTCTTATCCGCCAGTCTCGCTATCGCCGTCGACCTCAACCACCGCCAACTTTTTTCCTTAGCATCTTGTCTGCGCCAGCGTACGAGCATCTTCGCACCTAAACGACTCGACGGCCGAACGAGATCCACGATACGCACACAATGGGCGACCTCGCCGCCACGAAGAAGCGCAAGCGCAATGGCGTGGACGCTGTCGCCGACGCCGCTGCGGCCACCAAGAAGTCGAAGAAGGTGAAGGCCCCGCCGCCTAAGGAGGTCGAAGAGTCCGAGGAGGAATCCGAGGACGAGGATGAGGTGGAAGAAGTGGAAGAGGACGCCGAGGATGGCTCTGAGGCTGCCGACAACAGCCAAGACGAGGATGGGTCGGAAGCGTCCGACGAGGAGCAGGGCAGCGACCTCAGGGCCGACAGAGTCCTTCCCGCCGATGCGACGCCGCTGGTGCCCCTTGCCAGCGACTCTCAGACATTCGACGAGTTGAAACTCTCCGACAAGACGATGAAGGCGATTGGGGAAATGGGATTCACAAAGATGACGACGATTCAGCGCAGCGTATGTTTTGCCATCTCCATCGCAGTCAATCCCGATTGCATTCTCTGACTTCTCCACAGGCCATTCCCCCTCTGCTCGCCGGCAAGGACGTGCTCGGTGCGGCCAAGACGGGTTCCGGCAAGACGCTCGCCTTCCTCATCCCAGCCATCGAGATCCTCAGCGCCCTGCGGTTCAAGCCGCGTAACGGCACCGGCGTCATCGTCGTCTCCCCGACCCGAGAGCTCGCGCTGCAAATCTTCGGAGTCGCCCGCGAGCTCATGAAGCACCACTCGCAGACGTACGGCATCGTCATCGGCGGCGCCAACCGCAAGGCCGAGGCGGAGAAGCTGTCCAAGGGCGTCAACCTGCTCATCGCCACGCCCGGCCGCCTTCTCGACCACCTCCTCAACACACCGTTTGTCTTCAAGAACCTCAAGTCTCTCGTCATCGACGAGGCCGACCGGATATTGGAGGTCGGTTTCGAGGATGAGATTCGGAAGATTGTCCAGGTCCTCAAGAACGACAACCGCCAGACGATGCTGTTTTCGGCCACGCAGACGACCAAAGTCGGTATGTGCAAGAAAGAAACCCTGGGTGGGAGAGGCAAACGCTAACACCAAGCAGAGGACCTTGCGAGAATCTCGCTGCGGCCCGGCCCCCTGTATATCAACGTGGACGAGGAGAAGCAGTACAGCACCGTCGAGGGCCTCGAGCAGGGCTACGTGCTGTGCGAGGCCGACAAGCGATTCATCCTCCTCTTCTCGTTCCTGCAGCGGATGCAGGCCAAGAAGAAGAAGGTCATTGTCTTCTTCAGCAGCTGCAACTCGGTCAAGTACTACGCCGAGCTGCTCAACTACATCGACTGCCCCGTGCTGGACCTGCACGGCAAGCAGAAGCAGCAGAAGCGGACCAACACCTTTTTCGAGTTTAGCAACGCGTCGCACGGCGTGCTGATTTGCACGGATGTCGCTGCACGTGGTCTTGATGTAAGCGTCAACTCTTGCTGAGACGTGTTGAGCGTCAGCTAACCAGGACTAGATCCCCGCCGTCGACTTCATCGTCCAGTTCGATCCGCCGGACAACACGCGCGACTACATCCACCGGGTCGGCCGAACGGCGCGAGGCGCCGACGGCAAGGGCCGCAGCCTCATGTTCCTGCAGCCCAACGAGGTCGGGTTCCTGTCGCACCTCAAGGCGGCGCGTGTGCCGGTGGTGGAGTTTGACTTTCCGACCAAGAAGATCCTCAACGTGCAGTCGCAGCTCGAGAAGCTGATTGGCAAGAACTACTACCTGCAGCAGAGCGCCAAGGAGGCGTTCAAGTCGTATCTGCACGCGTACGCCAGCCACAGCCTGCGGTCCGTCTACGACATCAACAAGCTGGACCTGGCCAAGGTGGCCAAGAGCTTCGGCTTCACGACGCCGCCGCGCGTGGACATTACTCTGGGCCAGTCGATGAGCCGGGACAGGGTGCAGGGCAGGAGGTCGTACGGGAGCCAGCCTCGGCAGGCGACGAGGGGCGGACGGAAGTAGTGGAGGGGAGCTGGTCAAAGATGGGGAGGTGCGAGACATACACTCTCGATTGCTTGATGTCTGGGATACGCCTTGTAGATGCGCGCGCCGCAGATGACGGTGCATAGATGCATATCTCGAACGGCCGACGGCTGCGACTTTGTTGTACTTGGGCGTTGTGGCATTTGCTAGAGGGATTCAAAAAGTAACTTGCACAACACATGCATGGCTTGAGTTTGAGAAGCTGCGCGACGACGATGACGAGATGGTATGCATGTGCCACGACCTGAGCCAATTGAGTGACCTACGGCGGCAGACGAGATGTGAATGAACGGATGGATGTATCGATGGATGGGTGGAAGGATTGATGCCAGATGTCGAAAGAAGTAATCCTGATCCTGGGTGCACACCGGCGGCGGGCTCGGTGGGCGACGAGGGGGGCGGAGCACGCGCGGCGCGTCACCCCGTGAGCGTCATCTCGGCTCGGCAGCTGCGAAAACCTCATCAACTCCATACTTCGTGCATCACCGCCGCCGCGCCGTGCCCGCCCTCATTGCATTGTGATTCCAGCGCATTCATTTTTGGTTAGTTCAGACGGAGGCGCGGGGCACGCCGATAAACTACGAGAAGAGTAGAGGATACAGTCGAGGAGGAAGGATAGCGACCATGAGCGGCGACAGCAGCAGCAACGGCGATGGCAAGCCGACCACCACCACCGCATCACCACCACCACCGCCTGTCAGCGCCTCCGCCATGGACGCGCACAACGCCGCCGTCGCGCGCATCGCCGCCCAGGTGCAGTCCTTCCACGCCCGCCAGGCGCCCTTCCGCATCTACCACGGCTCGACCAACAGCACGCGGCACTCCGCCCGGCGCGCCGACAACACCATCGACACGAGCCGCCTCACGCACGTCCTGTCCATCTCCGTCGACGACTCCTCGCGCGGCGGCACCGCCCTCGTCGAGCCCAACGTGCCCATGGACGCCCTCGTCCGCGCCACGCTCCCGCACGGGCTCGTGCCCCCCGTCGTCATGGAGCTCCCCGGCATCACCGCGGGGGGCGGCTTCTCCGGCACGTCTGGCGAGAGCAGCTCCTTCCGCTACGGGGCGTTCGACGCGACGGTGCGCTCCGTCGAGCTGGTGACGCCCGAGGGGCGCGTCGAGCGCGCGGGCAAGCACGGCCCCAAGCAGGACCTGTTCTGGGGCGCGGCGTCGGCGTTTGGCACCCTCGGCGTCGTGATGCTGCTCGAGGTGGAGCTGCGCCCGGCGTGCAGGTACGTCCGCTTGGAGTACTCGCTGGCGAGGGGCGCGGCGGAGACGGTGCGCGTGATGAGTGCCGAGTGTGAGCGCGGCGAGAATGACTATGTAGATGGCATTGTGTTTTCTATGGATGAGACGGTGGTGTGCGTGGGACGGCTGACGGACGAGGTGCATGTGGAGGAGGGCGCGAGTGGCAGTGCCGCAAAGACCAAGATTCGGCGGTTCACGAGGCGGCACGATCCGTGGTTCTATATTCGCGCGCGCGACGTGCTCAAGACGCTGCGCAAGAAGGAGAAGCAGCAGCAATCTTCGCCGTCACAGCAGCAGCAGCGAGACCAACCACAGGAGCCCGCGGCAGCAGCAGCCACCGTCGTCGACACCATCCCCCTCGAAGACTACCTCTTCCGCTACGACCGCGGCGGCTTCTGGGTCGCGCGCTACGCCTTCAACTACTTCATCACGCCCTTCAACCGCGTCACGCGCTTCCTGCTGGACCGCTACATGCACGCGCGCGTCATGTACCGCGCCCTGCACAAGAGCGGCCTCGGCGACTACTACATGGTCCAGGACGTCGGCGTGCCGTACGACCGCGTCCCCGAGTTCCAAGCCTGGCTCGACGGCGCCCTGGACATCTACCCGCTCTGGCTGTGCCCCCTGCGCGTGCGCCGCCCCGGCGGGCCCTCCGCCGCGCACGGCCTGCACGCCGAGTTCGCCGACCCGGACCGCGCGCCCGACCTCATGAACTTTGGCGTCTGGGGCCCCGTGCGGGGCGACCGCCGGGCCGTGGTGGCGCAGAACCGCGCCCTCGAGCAGAAAGTGCAGGAGCTGGGCGGGAAGAAGTGGCTGTACGCGCACGCGTACTACACAGAGGAGGAGTTCTGGGCGCATTATGACAGGGCGTCGTATGATGCGCTGCGGGAGCGCTACGGCGCGGGATACCTCCCCAGCGTGTACGACAAGGTGCGCGTCGACGTCGACGCCGAGGAGGCGGCGAGGAACCGCACTTGGAAGACGCGCGCCAAGGCGAGGGCCAAGGGTGTGTGGCCGCTGCGGGGGCTGTACGGGTTTGCGGCCGCGGCGGTGGGCGCCGAGTACCTGCTGCAGAAGAAGGACAAGGGGGAGGGTGAGAAGGTGACGGAGAAGAAGGCGGAGGCGAAGGCGAATACAGAGCCGGCGGGGGAGGAGCCGAGGAGCGAGCAAGAGGCGGAGACGGAGAAAAAGTAGAAGGTGCCTTTGACAACCGGGGGCTCTCATTTGGAAAGCGTGGTATTGTTGGGCATTGTTCCTTAGTCCGAGCGAGCAAGAAGCATGTCAGTTTATAAATTACAGTAGAGCAGGACGAGAGGGAGACGAGAGGCGATAATGGCAGTCGACGACGGGGAAGCTGCCTCGTTTGTATTGCGTTGTGGTATCAGGCCTTCTCGGTCAAGCAGTAGGAGTCTGTTTACCACCGTGACTCACCTTCCCTCTGTACATGTTCCTTCCTTCTGTTTGAATGTCGTTCGTCTCGCACCTCGTGTCGTCTCGTCCCGCACCTCGATCTTCTCGCACCTCGATGGTCCCGCATCATCACTCGTCTCGCAGGACCATCCGCATTTCCCAAATCCAACACCATCTTCCCCAAGCCTCACCATTTTATGTCACAAGTATCATTAACATTATCTTTGACATCATCACTATTCTGTTCTTTTTGGACGATCATCATTCCTACCAACTTTCAGCACCATCAGCCTAAAGCATGGCTTCTCAAGTGTTCACAGAAGAAGCCCTATCGTTTCTGGACGGCCGGCTCTCATCACGGGTCTGGGCTCACGGGGTTTCCCCGTCGGCGTACAGCGAGACGACCTTCGGCGACGGACAGCAGCCATTTCATTGGGAACCAGCCGCCCGGGCGGCGCCACCAAAGAAGGCTACGGCGGCTGGCCGCAGGACACCGCGACGGGCCTGCGGGCTGTGCAATTGAAGGCATCGCGACATACCGGTTTTGTCTCTCTGGGCGGGATTGGCACCTAGCATGGTGGCCAAGATAACAAGTAGGTGTCCTCCAATTAACTCGTCCCCGACGGCGAACCTGTTGGAACGCCTGAAGCTTACCCTTATCGACTTCAGAAGTGAGGTTGCTCAAGTCATCTGGCGAGCCTGGAGTGCCCGGACGGACAGGGACAATTGGGTCATACACGACACTTGTGACTACGTACATCCGCCCGAGGGCGGGAAGCTTGATGCGGTGTCGCAAGCCGACGACGGGGGTACTGCACTTAATCATCTGGAGGAGAAGAGCTGTTTGAACGTCAGCCCATTGATATTCGGCTGCCACGAGAAAGGGCATTTTCAGGCACCGGCGACAGCAACGACAGCAACGACATTGATGGGAGCAACGGGAGAAACAAGGGCAACGAGGGTAAATTTAGCAGCAAACGCAGTGGTGATGACCAAATAGAAAAGCACCAATGTTCAGACGCCTTTCCCTCGTGTCTCCCGTGTCTCCCGATGAGCCTCATCTCAAACCACAAGCATAACCGGTTGACCATTTGGCCATTTGACCCCTCCTCTCAGGCACCGGCGTCAGGTCACGCCACAAATGGCCGTCCGCTGGATGCTCTGGTGTGGGCTGCGCGCAGTGCAGGCGCGACTGGCTGCGACCCCAGCTCAAAGTGTGGTGCCGGCAGCGTCATGCACACATCATAGCTGGCCCGGCCTGAAGTCATCCAATCGAGATACAAAACAGCGCCTGCTTCAACGTCTCAGCTCCCTCTCAGCTGGCTGCCTTTCGATTTTATCAATCGGGGTTACACTTTTCGTCCTCCGAATCACCACGAAATTCTTGTTCTTGAAATACCCATCATGGCCATCCTCCGAGCATCGAGCGGCGGCCTGCTCCGTGCCGCCGCCGGGCGCCGCGCGGCCCCACCCGGCCGCTCCGTGCTGGCGGCGACGGCTGCGACGACTCCGCGGCTTCACGTCCGCGGTGTGAAAGACGACCTCGGCGGGCCGGGCGGACAGGAGCCCCCGCCGGAGAAGCCCAGCGGGACTGATGCGATCCGCAGGAACTGGTAGCCTCTCCCCCTTCATTCCCCCAATTCCCCCCAGTTCACATTGCTGCCATCGGACTCGCCACAAGAGCTCGCACAGACGCATGCATGTATACACTATAGTGGCTACCGACAGGTATCGCTGACACACGGTCGAAACGAATCAGGGTCCCCCTCGGCGGCGCCGCGCTTCTCCTCGTCGGCGCCTACGCCTACCTCACCGGCGGGCCCACCAAGCCGACGGGCGTGCCCGTCATCCCCCCCGAGACCGAGACGGCCGTGGGCGTCGGCGTCGGCAAGGATGCGAGCCCCGGAGCGGAGCAGCACGCCGTCGCCAAGCTGGCCAAGAAGCTCGAGGACAAGGAGTCGGAGAGCCTGGCGCAGCTGAGCGGCCGCAAGAAGTCTGAGTTTGGGCCCTTTCGATCTGAGTGAGCGGAGGTAACGTGAAGGCGACAAAGGAGGCCCGGTGGGATGAGTACGGGAGGGCAACGTGAATCAACTGCCGAGTTGCGCTGAAAAACTTGACGGGAAGGTTGCGGGCATATTCGGGCGTTTATTGGGAACTACTGTAATTCTAGTACATGTGCATGATGTTTGGTTGCTGGACTTGGCCAGCGCAAGACCCGAATTGAGGATTCGTTGCGTGTTTCGCTGCGGCAGGGCGGCAGGCGTGTGCATGTGCTGTTGATCGCTGCACTGCGTGCTAACAATCGCGGGCGACAAACCCACGAGCACCAGGCGTCGCAATGCCACGACAGTCGTTGAGACTTGCGCTGTACCGTGCAGGTGGTTCAGGACCCGAAACCCCGAAACCCCGTTCAATTACGAGCACACGAAGTACCTTCATCGCTCATGCTCTCCGTTGGCCAATGTGGCATTACGAGTTACGAGTCGGGGCGTAAGAGGGCAGCCGAAACGGACGAAAATCCCCACGGCCGTTACTCGCGAGTCTTTGCCTCAGCGGATTTTGCGTCGTTATGCAGCGACCAGCACCGCTGCAGCCTGCAGGGCTGCGCCAGTGTTTGGAGGCGGCACTTTGCGCCCGCCCGTCACAAGCAGGAAACATGATGAGGATGCGAACCCAGGAGGGCTGTCTTGTGAGACGGCTTTATTATGTACATGGAAATGGTGGCCTCGGGGACTGAGTCCAACAGTCAGACACCACCAGGCGTACGCCGTCGTGCTGGTCTGCCATTACATGGCGACAACCCCTCCTCGTTCCGCTTCGCATGCGCTTTTAACACCCTTGGCTGAACAATCTTAATCTCATAGGGCGGAGGCTAATCTAGGAGGCTCACTTGCAGATGTTGCCGCCCGGGTTGCGATCGCATTCCGCCTCACCCATGTTTGAGGGGTCAACGGGGCTGAAGCTGAACATGCTGAACCTCGTTATGCTTGCCCGTTATGCACCTACAGCACCGTCAACTTATATAGAGCCGCAACCGTCTAGTCGGGCAAAAGAAAACGATATGAACATACAGAATATTTCACTCAAAGCCAATTCATACCGTTCCATCAAGCAAAACAAAGAAAACATCCATGTCTGACGCCAGCGCACCCCTCATCGACACCATGGGCAACCAGCAGCACCAAACCCCCCAACCACCATCCGGCCTCACCACCACCTCCATCGCCGCCCTCTCCGCCATCAAAATCGCCCTCGGCGCATCCTCCATCCTCGCGCCGCAGCTCGCATACAGCCTCTTCCTCCTCGAGCTGAAACCCAACGCCGTCGTCGTCGCGCGCCTCTTCGGCTCCAGCTGCGCGGCCCTCGGCGCCGCGACCTGGGCCCTCAACCGGCGCGTCTCCCGCGCTGGCGCCTATCGCCAGGGCGACGGCAGCGGGAGCCGCAACGCTGAACTAGAGGCGGAGCGCCGCGCGGATCTCAAAAAGGTGGTCGCGTTCAACCTCGCCGCCGACTCGGTGGACGTGGTCAGCTGCGTCATCGGGTACTCGGCGGGCATGTATGGCTTGGGCGCCTTTGGTATGCTGGGCGGAGGTTGTGCGGCGCTTGCGCTGCTGGGCGCCGTGGGTTTGAGCGGGCTTTAGATGGAGTGGTTCAAACTGCCGCAAAGGCTGTCCGGCGAGAGGAGTCCCCGTCGAGTTGTTGCACGTAAAAGAGTATTTATGTTAGAAGACAACTTCTTGCCTTGTCGGAGCCTGTATATTTTGAAGTAGAACAATTGAGCTGATTGGAGATTTCCCCAAGTTACTTAGCCTCTATATTCTATACTCTCGTTCCTCTCGTTGCTCTCGTTGCTCTCGTTGCTCTCGTTGCTCTCGTTGCTCTCGTTGCTCTCGTTGCTCTCGTTGCTCTCGTTGCTCTCGTTGNGTTGCTCTCGTTGCTCTCGTTGCTCTCGTTGCTCTCGTTGCTCTCGTTGCTCTCGTTGCTCTCGTTGCTCTCGTTGCTCTCGTTGCTCTCGCTGCTCCCGCTATCCTGGCATCTACATCGCGCGTATATCTACGTCAGTTAGTCTGGCTTAGGAGACGGTTGAGCGTGAACTTTACAAATGTGGCTTATATGGTGGAAGTAACCTGCAAGCCGTAACTCTCCTGTTTTGGCTTTAATGCTATGTGCCGCCTCACACGCAAGGAGCAGAACTTTTCATGACTCACTGTAGGTACCTCCTACACAGCAATTTATGTGGCCGCTTGTAATCTTCTACAATCGCGCTCAACCTTCAGGCAAGTCCCGTACACGTCGACAAGCTGCAACTGCCTGCCAGCAATAATCATGAGGCAAACCATTTCCCTCCGTCGCGAGGACGTCACGGACGACATGCTCCTCGACGCAGCAGCCTTATTCAGCGAGAACTACGGCATCTGGGGCCAGGCAGCAGCCGGCGGAAAGCCAGGCAAGTTCAACTTTACGGGACGTGCCGTGGACGATCCTAATTGACCTCAACGCAGGCAAGCGTGTCAGAATGAACGCCTCTCGTCTGCGGGAGCAGAGTCTTCCCGAGGGTTCCGACAGCATATACACTCGAGCAATAATTGACGGGGTTCTCGTTGGTCATACATTTGCCTGTCGGTGGAAGTATCAGGATCGCAACGTCCTGTGGATAACTCAGCTGGTGGTTCGTTCTGACTTGCGTCAGCGTCGGATTGCAACTTCCCTCCTTCTGAACTGCGTCGGCGAGAAGGATGATGTATTCGGCATCATGAGCTCTCACCCAGCCGCCTGCAAAGCTCTTGCAAGAGCTCTCGGTGGTATGCATGCTCTCGCAGGAATGTATGAATCCTTCTGACAAGCCAGCACAGGTATCTCATGCGCGGACATCCCACTCGAATTTGCCAAGAACCATGCCGCTGGCGTCCTAGGAAGCTCGCCAATCCAATACATTCGGGACGCCGAGCTTTGCGGAAACGCCTTTGATGCAAAGGATTCAACAGGCATGGTCATAGGAGCAAACTCTCACTTCTTCGTTGACCATTCCGAGCCACTGAGAGTGCTACGGTCGCTCCAAGATGGGGAATGGCCGCTTGGTGATCTCCCTGAGGGACATGAATTCATGCTTTTGTTCGAACGGCCGGGGCGGAGGCATAGCCAGGACTCTTTGCCGCACCGCCGCTAACAGAAGCGGGAAAATGTGTGAGACGTCAGCTACCCCACGCCCCGCCACTCACCCCTGGGATACATGTTATGCCGAAAATGGCGGAGCACCACTCTTCTGCCGCCGAGCTTTGAGCATTTGCGTGCTCGCTATGAGACAGCTTGACCGTCAGGACAGCCTATGGCGTGCACTCACTCAGTGGACCGGGCCGGGGTCGATACGGACACTGATAGGAGTGAAAGCGTGTGGCAATGGTAGAGCTTGCTCCATAATCGAGCCTTGGAAGGCACCTAATAATGCAGAACAACAATGAAGACAGTCACCTGCATCTCAAATTTTGTCGATACGGTAGCTACATTGCAAATGGATACATAAGCCTTTCAAAGAGTAAGATAGGAGTCCCCATGATACGATATAGCTAGCTGTTCTCTCAATAGCAACAATGGCCACGTTGCATGGTTGCAGTACTGGAATCTCCCGCGCGGCACATGTAGCTTGGCGACAGCCCTTATGCCTCCACAGGCCAGTATGACAGGACGCAAGTGGCCAACTGGGTTTCCATGCCCAGAGCCGCCAATATACCAAGTGCTTATGAGTCCTGAAAAGAAGTGGCTTTGGCAATTGACTACATGTCAGGTCAATTTGGCCACTTGAAATTGAGACCGCTTCAACCATTGATGTCCAGCGCGTATCAACCTGGACATGGCCCACCTCAGTATGCCCCGATATTGGCTTCAATTACATAACGTGATAACGGCATCATGTTCTCAGCTTCAAACTTTAAGACTTGGGTATTCAATCACAATTTTCCGGTCGAGGCGCGTGGTGTCAGTATACTATTCAGCTCATATGCTACATCTTCCAGCCTTAGTACCACCCGCAAGCTGAGAAATATAGCGGCTACCAGCGCACGATGCCAAGAGTAGACATAGCTTTGCAAGCTTACAGACCGGTTTGGCCTGAATTGTGCCGTATTTGCTGCATTACCCATTGCCCTGGACCTTTATGCCTATCTTCCATTCGCTGGACTCATACCATTCTGCAGGTTCATCAGGCATTTTGTCACAATAAACACGAGCTATAGCGGCTGTGAGGCAGTAGCAGTCATATCTGCTAATGCTAAGTCCGCTTTTGGTCGGGACTCTCTGGCATAATCCGGCGCTCCCGGGCGCTTTATGGCTTCCATGCGTTTGAGTAACACCTCGATGATTTGTATTACTCTACTATTGCTGCGAGTGCAAAGTGTATCAATCAAGGCAATGCAATGACACTTCAGCTGGAGCATGACAGGGAGCACTGAAGAGCGCTATTTGGTAGAAGAAACCTCATAAAGAAGAGTGAGATTCTACAAGAGCAGAAGAAGATACGGGGAAAACCCGCCGTGCTCTCAGACATTTTCGAGAAGTCCTCGTCTCCAAGATCTCACTATCACCTTTCGACAGTTTCTTCGAAAGCTCGTGGGAGGGACCAGCCCGACGGTCGCGATGCGGTCGATGATGAGCTCAGGCACGCGTCTGCTACTGGCGTGGATCTTTCTGCAACTGTGGGCGAGTCAAGGTCATGCCATGAACCCGACACCAAGCCCACCACGACGGGAAATGATCTTTAATCACGCCATGGGTGAACACGATGTAGTCTACTTCTTGGCCACGCCTCGACTCGTCCATGGTCCGCTCATTCATTTTCCGACTACTACGCCCGCGCAAGTGCAGAGGATAGGTGGAATCCAAGACCTAGACGACAATTCTTTGCCCAATTTTATCCTTACCAGTACCGATCTCCACGAGATGCATGCTGAAGGCTCGGGGCACCCAGGTTCGTGGATCTACCAAATCTCCACCGGACCTCATATGGTGCAGATAGAAAATTGGCAGCCCGATCAGGACGCAGAGCCTAGGCACTACATGACTGTTGGAGCCGTCATGTGGTCGCAGATCATGGCATTTGCCGTGACAAACGGAACCGATACGGTGGATGACCTCGTCTGGCAAAGTAATCCCGAATACAATAGGACTTGGGAGCAGTTTGGCGGCAGCCCGTGGCAGCCGATGTTTGGGCCGGTCGGCCCAGGGGCAAGAGAGCAGATGCGTCGGTTTCACCGGCTGGCTCGGGACGACACTGACCCATATGGCGAGTTCCTCGATGAACTTACCATATACCCCAACCCAGCTCTAGACGAGGGACATCGTTATATCATCCGGGCTCTGTTCGACTGGGACCGGAGAATGGAGCCTGAGCGAGGGTTCCCCCTAGCCCGCCTCAATCGCCGTACGTACACAACTCATGCCCAGCAAGGCTGCCTACCAGACTGCTCAGCTCGAGAGCACACAACTAAAAATGTACAGAGCCTCATGAGATCACGGTGGCCGCTCTGGGTATAGACTGGGCCGCCTTGAAGGTCCCGCCACGGCTCCGACTGATTATGGAAGGGGGCCTTCCAACGCCTGACCAAATTGCCCAGGTGCTGAGGTTCTTTGCAGGACCGCACTATTCAGGGCTCAGGTATACAGCGGCGTTTGAAGGCTTTAATCACAGAGGCAAGTGAAGCCCAAATTGACGACCTGTGCTGCAAAGCGCATAAGTAGCTTCAGCAGAGACCATGGGTCGAAACGCGACGGAGTAGCTGACAAGTAGCAGGAGTCAACGTGGCTGAGGAAGGCTGGCTGCCTGTTGATGAAGCCCGCAGGAGGCGCGAGGAATGCGAGGAGGAGGTCGGACGTTTGGTGGAAGAGCTGCTCGATTCGTCTGCTGATGAAAGCGAGGGTGGAGGAGAATACCGCGACCGCGCTGTGCCACAGATGGAAGAACACGCGCGGCGACGTCTTTGCCAGGCATCGTCATCATCCAGCGACAGTGGTAAGTTCCGGCAGCTTATGAGCTCCCCCCCTTGCCCCCTTTTGTGCTTCGACCTTTCCCAGACTTTTTGTCTCTCCATTCACGAAGCCGTCCCAACTATTGAAGCCCGTCTTCTGACACCCAAAACTGTTTTGCATGATCGTTTAGAGGGCTGCATGGACTTGGTCAGGCAGGCTTTGAGAAATCAAGCTAGCCCAAGCCACGACGGGAGTCGCGACCGCTCGCGGCTCAGAGGTAACATGGACTGGCTGAAGCACAAGGAGCAGAATCGCCGGTGCCATCAGAGCCAACTTACAACAACGCCGGCGTCTTCCTCGGAGGACGGTGCCGGTGAAGCGAACGTGACCTTGTCGTACGACGGCCCGACCCGCCAGCGGCAATGGGCACAGTTCGCGCGGGAGGCGGCCGCAGCCAACGTGGACGAGGACACGTTGATGCAGCACCTAGACAGGGGCATCGTCTCGTTCGGACGGCTGTTTCCCAGCCTCTATGAATCGCTGGTGCGCCAGTTCCCCGCAGTCTACAATGCCCTCCACATCGCGGCCGGGCTGGGCATAAGCTTCCGTGCCTGCAGCCGCGACCCCCTGGGGCCCGGCCCTTCCGGGCAGGGGAAGAGGAAGAAGAGGTCCGACGAGGTTCATGGCCTGGGGCCACGGACGACAAACCGGAGCGGCGACAAGTGCAAGGCGCTGCATGACATGGGCAGGCTGCACTCCAACGTCTACGTTTGCAGCGGCATCAGCTTTGGCGCGCCGTGCATGTGGGTTGGTGCACCACCGGGGCATTGCGGTACGTCGCGGGCAACATGAGCAAGCATTGTGTTGATTCTAAACGCCTGTCGTCCTCGCATACATCGATATTGGTGACACGGCCACGTCTGGAAGGCTAATCGTGCTGTACAGTCAATCTACCCGGGGAGCTGATGGTGGATGCGTCCTCTTTCCGCCCGAATGGGGCTGCCGGCTCCTGCAAGCTGTACGAGTAAGACTACCTGCCTACTCTGCCTGGCTTCGCTACCGAAGTGTACTGCCATATCATCGTCGGGAATCCTGACCGTTCATCTTCAGCAAGGTGTCTTGTGCCGGACTCGACGTCGAGATCGACGGCCCTATAGAGTTTTTCGCACCGGGTGGCCAGTCCGCAAACTGGAACGACCGGGCGCGCTCTCTCCGTTGTCACGGCCCTCCGAAGAAAGAACACCGAGAGTCCCCGTCCCCGCTCCATGCTCAGGGTCCACCGACCCAGCCGTGCGACATCATAAACAAGTTGACCATTCACTTCGAGATGGGAGGTCATGGCACGTGGGATAGAATCGACGGCGTCATGGAAAAGGCAACCTTTTTGCTAGCATCAGGCCCCCGAGGAGACTACAAGACCACGAGAGACATCAGTCTCCACGAAGCCTTCGGCGCCGGCGAAGTGGCCCTGAAGGACATAAATTGGTTTGGCGTTACGTCGACGAAACAATCCCTCCTTGGTATGGCGTGGAACATAGGTGGTACGTGAGATCTTCCTTGAGGTTGTTTCCCTACTACGGCAGGCCAGGAAGCCGAGAGCCGTCGTATTCCTTCCTTATTGAGCGAGGCTGATGTATCAGGCGTCACACTCACCGCGAAATGCGCCGATTCGGATGACGAGATGATCTGGGATAAATACGCGAGTTTCGACAGCGGCTACCTCGGTAGGAACTCTGGCGAAGTCAAGATGGTCTGGGGTGTCCGGATCTATCTGCGCGACTGGCACAAAGATGGAGCGGCGGCGGTAGCAAGCCAAAACGTGGAGGCACAGCCCAAGCACGATGAGCACTGAAATCGATGAAGCTGGACGCTTGACCGAGCCACACATTAACACGCACGGAGAGAAGAGAAAGAAAGAAATGCAAATGAACATGGAGTGAGCACCTCAGCGCGACGTTGGACATCGGAACGAAACTTCCATCATTTGATGCATTCATACGACCAGACATCGACGGTCCTATTTCCCGGCCTTCTAGGCCTTGACGTGCACAGGCATGTCATTCCTCACTATGGGCGCTGATGTAGACTGGTTGAACTTTGACATGGCGATGCTGTGCCCTCGCAACTGGAGTTTTTACGACAGCCGTGTCATGGAAGTTGTGTTATACTGCCTAGCTCCGGTGAGGCGCTACACTGCATCATGCGAGACGTGGACTTGTTGCTCCATGTCGGCTGTCCACGTCGTGCTTCAATAATACTTCCTTCACTGCTACTTCTTAGGCTGCTTAAACTCCCGTTGCTGTCTGACTTGCCTTCGCATGAGAATCTGGCGCCTGCATATACGTGCATCCAGGTTGGCGGGGCCACAGCTAAAGACTTTGTGACCATAGCTTGTGTGTCGGCATGCTACGTCGCAAAAGGACCACTCAGAATCTACAAATGGCAATCCGCTATTAACACAAGCATGCATATGAGGTGATTATACTGCCCCTCTTTTGAACTGCAATAACACCAGCCGCCACGTTGCATAGCCGAAGCTCTGTAAGCGCACCTTGGCAATGGTCTTGTTTTAACAGTAGATGCAGTGACCAACTGGCCATTTCATGCTCAGAGCCGCCAAGCCAAAAGGTCACCAAGGATAGTAAACCAGGAAGAGAGTACCAGGACTTGACATCAACTGCCCATCTGGTCACGTGTCTGAGGTTTCATACACAAACATTTCTACGACAACATTGAACATTGAAGCGGATGTCGTGTATATTCGAGGAACGTGTTGCGCGGGCAGTCTTAGCCACTGCCAGGCTTTATTGAAGGCACCGAAATAGCGCCTTTGCCATGCTCAAACTCAGTCAAAGTCCTTTGACTCGCGAAGGAATCGCGGCCTGGCCGAAGACCCGCGTCCGGTATCCCACGCGCATCGACAAGGTCCCTATAGAGTGGCATCACATGCTCAACTTAAACGTAGCACGACGCAAGAATCATCATTGTGCTGCTGCCTTACTGCGCAAGCTCCGTGCATATATAAGTGTACCTCGTATATGGCTGCAGTGGCGGCCATCCCTCCAGGTCAAGTATGCAACACCGCTATCGTGAACATCCGAAGCTGTATTGGCCCCTCAATACGTGCATGTATTTGTAAGTTGCCTTGGATTGTGATGCTTGTCTTCGACCGGGGCGCTTATACTGCTTAATCAATTACTCCCAAGGCCTCCGACGTATATAATGCATGAAACCTTGCTTCGAAGCGCCCATAGCACTCCGATTTCATCCGTGGATCGGCTATGTGCGTGAGTGAATAGTAGTTCTCGTGCATGACATCTCATGCTCCTTCATTGCTGCCCGTGGTAGTGCTCGACTACAAGTCGTAATGGAATCAGTTTGAGTTTGGAGCAGGCGGCAAGAAGGGGCCACAAGCAAAGGCGGTGTCTTTTAAATAGGTTGAGAGCCGGCAAGGGGGGAGAGGGCTTTCAGAGCACATGCAGTCTCAGAACCTTTCGAGAAACACCCAACTTCTCACTCACACACGTCAATGGTCCCGAGGGCTTCTTTCAAAAGTCGCGGCAGGCAACTCACAATGCAGGCGATCGTTAAAAGTGCAGGAGACACGGGTCTGCTGTCACTGATATGGATCTCCCTATTGTTGTGGGCGAAGGGCACGTATGGGAATGAGACACCGGCGGTTCCGGCGACCGGGCCATGGGCAGTTGGACCGCCAACAAGGCATTTCATATTCCATCATGGTATGAGCCTACATGACGTTGGCTATCACATCGCGTTACCCGAAGACGTTCAAGATACGCAGACATCGCCGCCGACTTTGACTCCCGCCCAGGTATTCAGGAACGGCGGCATCCAACGCCTGGATGAGAACAGGCTACCCGACTTACTCAATGTTTCCACCGACCTTGATGAGGTGCTTCGTCTAGCCGCGAACCGTCCAAGCGGGCAGCCCCAGGGTGCGTGGGTCTACCGAGTGGCCACGGGGCCTCACATGATCAACCTGGCTTCCAACGTGTACGGCGGCCAGGGGCCGAGACATTATTGGACCGTTGGGGCCTTGCTCTGGTCGCAAATTATCGCCTTTGCTGTCACGACCGGGTCAGATAGCGCGGAGGACCTGGTGTGGCAGTCCAACCACGAATATGACAGGGCTTGGGAGGCATTCGGAGCCAGCCCGTGGCAGCCGCTGTTTGGAGCTCTTGGGCAGGACAGAAGGGCGCAGGCGAGGGCATTCTATGAGTTTGCCAGCGATGACACCGACCCTTACGGCGAGTTTCTTGACGAACTGACGACTGACGCGAACCCAATGCTTGATATCGAATCGCGTCTTGTTCTTCGCGCACTGCTCGACTGGGACCGGGCCCAGTTCCCCGACCGCAACTTTCCCTTGGCTAGCGTCCAGCGTCGTATGTATATACACAACCCCGTCTCGCGACAGGGCGGCCGCACCGGCCAGAGCTGACCAGAGCGTGAAGCCCTTACAACCATCACAATGTCGGCGCTGGGGATAGATTGGAGTGGATGGGACATCCCGCTGCGCACCCGGCTGATCATGCAGGGGGGACTCCCGGGCGAACGCCAGATCGGCGAGGTTCTCAGATTCATCGCGGGCTCGCAGTACTCGGGCGCCAGGGTCCAGTCAAGGATGGACGGCGCCGAAAGCGCAGGCAAGTGACGACACCTGTCACATGGTTGTGCCGCAGCATGCGGAGCCGCCGGCACCAGGGGTATCAGGGTCGCCGCTGACGAGTAGAGGCAGGAACAAGAACGAACCGGGATACCTGGCTGTCCAACCTTGAAGGGATCAGGAAACGGCAGGAATGCGAAGATGAGGTCGGCCGCCTGGTAGACGAGCTGCTCCGGGAACCAGCAGCGTCGACTGGCCACATGGCGGCGGACGGCGAGCCAGAAGACAAACGCACGACACAACAGCTGTCTCTTATACACATCTAGATGTGTATAAGAGACAGGTGCTCATCCGTGTGTCGAGCCTCGGCCGCTGACGTCCAGCCACGCTCTCCCGGTGCTGCAGAAGCCTGCATACGCCTCGTGAGGCAGGCCCTAGAGCCCCCCTCGGACAGCATCTTGACTCCATCGCAGCAACGCCGCGACACAAGGCTCCGAAACCAACTGCTCTTGGTCAAGCGCAGAGAGCGGCGACGCAGATGCCACCAACGCTTCGACACGCCGGCGTCCACCGGCCGAATGAGGGAACCGACGGGCAACGAGGACGTTTACAACGACCAGGACCGCCGCAGCCAATGGACCGACTTCGTGGCGCTGGCCAGCTCCCACATCGCCGAGGAGGAGCTGCTGCAGCAGCTGGACAGAGGCATCGGGCAGTTCGGTTGGCGGTATCCCGCGCTCTATGAGGCGCTATTTCGTCAGTTCCCCGCCGTATACTACATGCTGGAGCGTGCGAGGACCCTCGGCATAACGTTTGGCTCGTGCATGGCTGGCAGCAGCTCTCGGCGGCAGAGCCACATCAAGAGAGCCGCCCGCGCTCATGCTCTGACGCCGCGGAACGCAACGGCGGGTGGCAATGGCGGCGGCGGCGGCGGCGACGACGACGACGATGACGCGTGCCCTGCGCTCCTGGTCATGGCCGGGATGCAGCCCACCATGTTCATCTGCAAAGATGCCAACTTTGGCGCGCCCTGTATAAAGCTTGAAGTACCTCCTGGGATGTGCGGTACGTCTCCATGTTCTTTCTCTTTGGACTCCAGTCAGCGTCCTGCCTATCACCCGTCGGGCCGTGGCGCAACATGGAGGGGCTGACTTAACCCTGACTATCTGATAGTTGACATACCCGAGCCGTATACACAACAAGGATCCTCTTTTCAACCGAATGAGGCGGCCGGCTCCTGCATGCTATATGAGTATGACTCGCCCTACCGCCTGTCCAGCCCGGCCCCCCCTCGAGCTACCCGACCCGTCTTCACTCGAGTCGTTCACATTCCTCGCGCGGGAAAATGAATACTAACCTTTGTTTCCCCTATCCAGCGGACCGCAGTGCTCAGGGTTTAACATTGCCATCACGAGCAGTGTGACGCAGTTCGAACAGGGCCCCGACGACGGTATCAACTGGAACGACCGAGGCTACTCACTCCTCTGCAAAGTGGCCCCAGACCTTGCGCCCGCAGCGCCGCTGCCGCCGCCCATGGCAGAATGCGAGAAAATTAACAGGCTGACCATCTTCTTCAAGCTAGGGAGCTTCGGCACGCCGGACAGACTCGACGCCAACATTGGCGGCGTGCCCTTCTGGCTTGCGACGAATCCCGCGGGGTACCTCAAGGTGTGGAAGACGGTCGACCTCAAGCAGGCCTTCAACAGTGCCAATATTCCCCTCAAGGATATCTCCGCCATCGGAATCCAAGCCACGCAAGAGAAGCTGATATTCTCGCGATCCTTCAAACCTGTCTCTTATACACATCTAGATGTGTATAAGAGACAGGGGTACAACAAGGCACAACTACATGTAGACGAGGTTCCTGACAAGCACGGGCGACCGACACTTAGGTATCTCACTCGCCGCAACATGTTCGGGCTCCGGCCAAGAGATCGTCTGGGACAGATGGGCCAACTCCGAGTCCGGCTGGATCGGCCGCAGCCCTACCTTGGTCAGCCAGCAGGTCTGGAGCACCAAGATCGCCCTCGGCGAGTGGCACCCATCCGGAGGCTCGAGCCGCGAAGCGTACGGGCCAAAGGTCGGAAAGGACGAGCACTAGCAATGAGAGCACTGGGGCGTCGGCGGATGAGCCTGCGCCCAAATACTTCCTAGTAGGGTAGGCGCTTTAGGACGTAGGGTTCCTATTCGTAGTAATACTTCTCATCTGGACAAGCCGGGAGCATACGGAGTGGCATAGTTGCTGCAGGCTCCGTTCCGCGTGCTTCGAGCTGTCCGTCTCCAACCCTGGTTGTTGGTGTTGGTCCACGTCCATGGCATCGGCCAACGTGCGGGTCAAATCCAAGTCAAAGTCACGCAACCCCATTGCACAGAGGGGGACAAAAAAAGAACAGTAATACAGTACTTACAGTAAGTACAGTACTCTACCTAGGACGACAAAGTACATACTAGTAAAAAACGGGGAGGCTGGAGCCTGCATCTGGGCACCCAGCACAGCGCAGCGCGGCCCAACAGAGAGGGGGAAGCGGTGATGGTGATGCCCGAACCTGGCGGGTCAACGGGCCCGCGCGGCCCCATGTCGAACGGGAAACGGGGTTTGTTGGCCGGCGGCGATTGGGCTCGTTCCGTCGGACAGCAGGAGGACCCTTGCACCTCGTGATGCCAAAAATCACCAGTCGCATGGAGCGGGCCGGGGCTCGGGTGTGGCTTTGTGGAGTCTGCGATCCCTGGTCCGCGCTCACCGCTGCGATGGTCTGGCTGCGTTGAGACACGACACGACAAGGCAAGACAAGGCAGGCGCACGCACAACACGCAGAGAGAGAGTGAGAGAGACAAAGGGCCATGCATGCGTCGTCCGTCCATCCGTTGGCAGGTCACCCGTCTAGGTGACCCCCAACCATCGTGGATGAATGGCCGACGGGATGGGCCCCCCGCCACCGCTCGCGGGCCTCAAATAGCCCTCGCGGCCGCCCCTGGGCTCGTCCTTCTTTCTCTTCTCTTTTCCCCTTCTTCCCTCCCCAGGCGACTTGGCGGGGCTGGTCCATCGGAAGGATGGGCGCCCGCAGACTCAACTTCGTGGCGCTCGTGGCGGTGATGGTGATGGCCAGCGTGGCCGTCGCCAACACCGCTGCGGGCGCCGGCGCGGCGGTCTTGTTCCTCGCGGAGGAGGGCCAGGCCCGGTCGATCTCTCGGCCGCCTGGCCTCCGGACCGTGGAGCTGGCGGCGAGCGACCACCCTTTACTACTGTACGTTGCGACATGTCCTCACTGCGTGTGTGACCTTGTGGGTGTGGGTGCTAACAGGCAGGTGAAGCGGCATGAGTTTCGACTGCATCCTGTCGGATGCCTCGTCGGCCAAGTGTGCCCCGGTCACACGCGGCGGCGGGCCCGACCTAGTTCATTTCTTGGAGCGGGCGTTTGTTTTCGCATCTTTTTACGGAGAGGAGGAGAAGCACGAGGCGCGCCTGGCGCCGGCGACCATGAAAGCTGGTCCGGAGCAACCTGTCGCCCGTACGGCTGCGACTGCGACAACATCATTGTCGCATGGACGCAGGCGCACGGCGGCACTGGTCTTGGAAACGGCTGGACGGAGGCTGGCACCCGGCACGATCGTCGGCTTCTCGGCTGATAGACTGGTTTTGGATGACGACACACGGCTTGAACGACCGGCACCGACGCCGACGGCACAGGCCGCGGGTCCGAGCAGCAGCATGTTCGCAGCAGAGCACGGAGCGAAGAGGAGGAAGATACCGACAGAGGACGACGACGACAATGACGCCGACGCCGACCACGGTCGCACGACTTCCCTAGTACTTTCGGCCCCGTTGGCGGACTGGCCTGGTGGTGGCGCGAAGCAGAGCCCGCACGGCTCTGCGATGGCGCTGCTGCTGGGTCGAGTGTTCGGGCTCGCGGCAGCCCCGAGTGTTGGTGTGGTTCTCTAGCATCGGTGAAGAGGCAGTGTCTGTCTGGGTCACATGGCATCGTACGCATCGCATCGCGTCGTATCGCATGCCGTTGTGACGATCCGCGGGCAGACGCAGGCCTTGGTAGCCATTGCTGGATCAAGTCGCTCTTTACCAATTCAAGTCTCCTTTGTCAAATTCGGAATGGGGCGCAGACCGGTCGCGGCGGCGGAGGGACGAGAGAGTCTCGACGCGAATGTCCGAGGCCGGGATGGCTGCCCCGGCGGCGGTGGTGACGAACGTCGAAGCCGCCGTCGCGTTATGAGATATGCTATATGATGATGCGCACACGAAAAACCACAAAAACAGTAACGATTCTAGAGGCGCAGGGAGGACGTTGGTCGATTAGTTGTTCAGATAGAATGGCGAAAGAGACTGGGTGCTCCTTGCTGCATGAACTGCGCTCGTTTGCGGTCGCCGATGTCGTGAAGTCGTACCGTTGAAATGCCGCGATGCTGGCAATGGCCCTCGAGATTGCAGCTTCTGAATGACTGCCGTCTTCAACAGACACACACAGGTCGAGGTGTTGAAGGAGTCAAGTCGATGGCGCGATGCAGGTGAGAATCGATAATATGGCGGGAGTCGGGACGGGAGTCGGGGAACCGGGGTCAGTGGAGGGGGGCTAAAGGCGGGAGTGCGGGGGGCGTCAGTAGCGGGAATGGGGGCCAGCGACGGTCCGACTTCCGCAGCAGCACCGCCGAGCTGAGTGCTCTGTATTATGGCAGCGTTGTCTTCACCGCAGCCCACCATGTGGGTATACCACAAGGGGACGTGAGGGATGCAGCGCCGTTGTGCCACCGCGACCCGCCCGTGAACAAGCTTAACTTGTCCTCCCGACACGTGTTGGAGGCGCACGTCCGGCTCGGCAGTCTGTACGACGCGGCGGCGTTGCACAGCGTGCGGCACAGCACAGCGGCAGCAGCACAGGCCCGTCAGCGGCTGGGGGCGCGCTCATGCCCCGGTGCTGCGGTGCAACCGAGGCGGGCGAATCTCGATCGGCTGGCGGGTGATGATGATGATGATGGATGCGTCATCAAGGGAGGGTAGGAGGGCCAATGTCGCTTTCGCTTCGCTCCGCCTCGAGATGGATGTGACGGCTCGTGCGTTGCGTGCGTGCGTTGCGGGTGGACGGGCGGGTCGCCGTGTCGCGTGCCGAACAATGGACGGATGAGTGAGACATGTCGCGCAGCTAGCTAGCTGAAGCTGGCGTCTCTCGCCGTCCGTCTTCTCGTGGGGTGGCGACGGCGAGATTGTTGACGATGCTCTCCCAAGAATTCAAGGAAGGAAGGAACAACTTGGTCAATGTCGTTCGGCATGCTTCGGGCCATCGGCCGCCGGTCATCGGGCCCCCAGGGGCCGCTAGCCCGCTGCAGCGGTAGCGCAGGCAGGCGCCCTCCATCTTCTCTCCAGTTTATTCCCACCACGTCAGAGGCAGGTCACTGTACAGCGCAGGCCCCCTCAGCCCTCGTCCGCCAGCACACCTCAGTTGGGTAAGGTAATTGTCTTGCTCAGCGCGCCTTCCTCAGCGTCCAGGAGTGCCCGCCGCCAAGCCGTCTTTCAGGTGGGCCCGCCCCCCCCATCAGGCCGTTCTGCCGCGTTCGAGGTGCCTGTGATGCCCGTATGCCAGCCCGGCCTCTGCCTGAAGGTCCGGGTGCCTCCACCCGCTGCGCATGTGTGAGTCGAACCGACCGGAGGCACCTGAGCTGAGGTACAGGTACCTTGCCTTGTAGCGCGACAATCCACCGCCCCCCCCGGAGGGAGCAGGCATGAACTCTTCGAAATTCTCCCCCGCCACTCAACCGCCGCTCACGTCTCACCCTCAGACTCGACCGCACACACCGTCACTCGCCGTCACTCGCCGCCCGCCCGCCCCGCGGCACTCGCCCGTGACTCCCGACTCACCCCATGCCCACGGCGACCTCGTTGACGACTGCGCCCACGCGCCTCACCGCGCATCCGCCCGCCCTCGCCGTCCCCTTGCTCCGTCCCCAGAACTTCGCCCCGGCTCGTCGCTCCTCGGCACTCGAGCGACGACCCGAGCCTGTCTCGGTCATGGACCTGGACTCCGACTCGCCGCCTCCCGCCTCAAACCCCCGTGCCTTTGACGCCCACGCCGCCTCGCTCTCTACCTCTGCGTCGTCGGCATCGCATTCCCGCCCCCCGGTCTTGGACGTCGGTGCGGCCGCCTCTCACCATCACCAGCACGGCCTCGCTCATCAGTTCCCGCCCTCGCGCCTCGACGGCGCCTCCTCCTCCCACGGCAACGTCTCGCCCGGCCACCGCCCCAAGAAGTCGCCCTCGACATGCAGCACCTGTCGCATGCGCAAGGTCCGCTGCAACGGCGCTCGCCCCCTCTGCTCCAATTGCCAGCGCCTCGGCTTCCCCTGCTCCTATGACGATGGCGAGTCCGAGGCATGGGGCCTCGCCCTGCCCCGCCGTCGCGTCAAGCAGGCCTGCCTCAACTGCCACAGCCGCAAGGCCAGGTGCTCGGGCCACGAGCCCTCGTGCGATCGCTGCCGCGCTCAGGGGCTGGACTGCGTCTACCGGCCGAGCAAGCGCGCGCGAGCCTCGGCGCGTGGAAGCTGTAGCGATGTCAGGAGCCCCCAGAGTCACGACGACGGCGACAAGGACCGCGACAGGCTCCACGATGATGCCCACGACAGCGACGCTGCCCTGACCGACCGCCAGGGCACCGTCACCCCCAGCAACTCCAACCCCGACGTGTACGTTGCTTTTGTCCCTCTTCTGTTCCTCTTTCCCTCCATCTGATGGATGAGATGGATGCTGACCCTCCACGCCCCTTTAGACCCTGTCCCGACGAGTCCCTGGACGCACTCATCGGTCGCACCCTCGACCAGTACTTTCGCCATGTCCATCACATCCCCATGTACTCCTTCCTGCATCGAGCCTCGCTCATGGAGCAGTACAACGCCGGCAAGGTCGACAAGGCGCTGCTGCTCGCCCTCATCGGCATCACCTCGTGCCTCACCGACATGGGCCCTGGCGTGCGCGAGTATGGCGACCGCTGCATCGACAACGCCGAGGCGCTCGTCTTTGCCGACTACAAGCGCCCCTCGGCCTTCAAGGTTCAGGCCCTCGTCTTCATGATCAAGCACCGCATCCTCTCCAACAAGTTCTCCAGCGCCTTTGTCCTCTTTAGCCTCGCCTCCCGCTACGCCGCCGCCTTGCGTCTCAACTACGACAGCCCCAACCTATGTTTCCTCGCCCAAGAATCGCGGCGCCGCCTCATGTGGTCGCTCTACTGCATGGATTCAGGCATATCCAGCGGCTACCGCGACTTTTCCCTGTGGCGGCCGGAAAAGATTCACGTGCCGCTGCCCTGCAACGAGCGCAACTTTGAATTCGACCTGCCGCAGCCCACCGAGAAGCTGGTGCCCGAGTCGGCCGGGCCGCAGCCCCAGCATCCCGAGGATGTCGGCAGCAACGCCCTGCACATCCGCATCTTTCACACGCGGCAGAAGATCAGCGAGTTTACCAAGGACGTGCTCGTCAGCCGCAACGTCAACACTACCGAGCTGCAAACCACGGTCCTGTCATTGCATAATGAACTCGAGGACTTTGCCAACCGCCTCCCCGCATCATTCCAATTCTCCGAAAACTCTCTCCGCCTGCGAGCCTACTCGCCCCGAATATGCGTCTTCATCATGATACACGTGTGGTGGCGCCAATGCCACTGCGATCTCTACCGCATCGCCCTGTCCGGGTTCCGCGACGCGCTGCCCAAACCGATCCTCGACTCGCTCGACGACAGCTTCATCCAGCACTGCCAACGGCAGTGTCTTGACCACTCCCTCGCCATGGTCAGCATCTTCTCCACCATGCAGAAGCTCGGCGCGAAGCCCGTCGCCGATCTCGACCTCGCGCTGTGTGCGTACCAATGCGCCCGCATGCTCAAGTATGCGTTCCACGTCAACGGCGACAAGTTTGGCCTCACCGCCGACGGCGTCACCGAGCAGGCCAAGGTGTGCCTGCGCACAATTAAGCAGTGCTGCAAGGGGCCCGCCGCCGCGGCCATTGTCGCCGAGCTCGAGTCCCTGATAGCCAGGGGCCTCGGCGCGCCCGCCTCACCAGCCAACATATCCAGCCCCGACACCTTTCGGATCAACGGCATGCCGAACGGGCAGTCATCGGGGCGCAACGCCGTGTTGAGGAGCATCGAGGTTACCGACGACCCAGACGTCGTGTCCCACACCAACGGCAACTTCACCTCGTCGTCCAGCAACAACAACAACAAGATGACCCGGCTGTCGCTACCCGCCGCCATGATAGGTGACCCCTGGGCAGCGGAAAGCACAGGCAACAGCAACAACAACAACGGCAGCAATAACTTCGCCAGCGTCGCCCCGCCAATATCCGACGTGGCCGCCCGCAGCGCAGACGACTACACCACGTCGGAGCTCAACAACGCGTACGAGGGCGCGCTCGACGGGCTGGGGCTCGACAACGGGCTCGACCACGCCATGGGCATCGACCTGTCGCCGTGGCCGCCCACGACGAGCGGCGAGTTTGTGTGGCCTGAGTTTCTCAACGGCGGGGTGGGCGTGTAGCTACCCACGACCTGACTAGTTGACGGGGATCTCGACATGACGTGGATGAGTATCTATCTTGTCTGGACGGGAACAAGAGAGGGAGAAAGGAAGGGCTTGTTTATTTAGGGCGGGTAAGAATCTAGGCGAGCATGGGAAGGACGAAGCTGGATATACCCCCCACACGTCACGATGAACGAACGGAACTCTGTACGAACACGACACGATGATGGGAACACCTACAATAGAGAAAGCGCGCGCGCTGCGTCTTAGAAAAACTATCACAAACGCACTGTTGGCAAAAAAGGAAGTGATCCATATTTCTACACCGGGCGATGATGGAGCCCGTGACCAAAATGCATACATACACAATTAGCTAGGGAAATGTAGCTAATCCCTGGCCCGGGTATGCATGGCAAACACGCACGCAGGCTAATACGCGGCAAGCAAATTCCTCGGAAAGCAAAAGGAGAGACACACCCATGTTACAAACGCCCCCTACGGCACGCCCAAACCGTTTTTGTGCGCCCGCGTCGCCCGCTTTCGCCTTTGTGCTCGGTAGACTGGCACACGAAACAACGACATAAAACAGCAACGACAAACCGCATCGCCATGCAAACCGTCTAGTAGAACAAACGACAGACAGACATGCACACTCAGAGTTTCACGTGGAACAGGTACCGAAGCTTGACCTGCGCGACGTCGTAGCAAATGTACTCGTTGTAGAAGAGCGTCGTGTTGGGGACATTGGTGTCGCCGGTCTTGACGCCGGGGTCGGGCTGCGAGGGGAGGTATGTTAGCATCGACTGTTGTTACGTGCGGTTTGTTTGCCGGTTCCCGCCTCCAGCGCGTCAGAAGAATGACGAAGTGTAGAGAGAAAGGGAGAAGCGGGAGGGGATGGGGGATTGAAGGAAAGAGCCTGTCTTACCATGCGGATGCCCTTGAGGCTCTCGTGCACCACGCCCGCGTCCTGCCACTTGCTCGGTCCCATGCTCCCCTGGCCGAGGGTGCTCCACATGCCGTTCTTGGCCGCGTCCTCACCCGCGTGGTAGCTCGAGTGCGTGAGCCTCTGGAGGGGGTCTCCCAGCTCGGCCTCGCAGAGCAGCAGCAGGGCGTGGCCGTTGGAGTTGCCGGAGCAGCAGTACCCGGCCGACTTGGACGACATGTCGGCGAGGTAGATGCCCTTGCCGAACATGTACCCTGAGACGGGCGCCTCGGGGGGCGCGATGCGCAGGCCCTGGCTGAGGATGCCGCCAAAGTTGGTCACGCGCGAGCCGTGCCACAACAGGCGCCGGTCCGAGGGGATGTTGGCGAACTTGGACTCGCGGAGGCGCAGGTCCTCGCCGCGACGCTCGATGCGGAAAATGTTCTGCACCTTGTAGCTGTAGCTGTGCGTCGAGCCCTTGGACCCGTTGAGGTAGTCGCGCAGCTGGCCGAACTCGGCGCCGTCGTGCGCGAGTGGCGTCATCTCCTCCATGCCGAGGCTCTGGAACTGGCGGTCCAGCGCGTGCACCTCCTGGGCGCTCCGGCTGCTGCGGTCCATCTTGAGCAGATCGGCGGCGTCCTTCATGTCCGACAAGCTCTCGAGGAGTTCTATCTCCTTCTTGAGCTGCGGGTCACTGTTGATGATGGGGGGCCGGTTGCGCCCAAAGGCGTGCGGGATGAGCGAGTAGTACGTGTTGGACAGGTGCTCCGTGGCGGCGGCCATCGTCATGTCCCACTTGCTCTTCGCCAGCGTTGGATCGTCGATGAGGGCGGCCAGATCCTTGAGCTGCTGGAAGCCGCGCAGGATGGTAGCCTTGCTGAGCTTGCCCAGCGGCAGCTTGTTGGCGTCGTAGTTGAGCGATGCCATGGTGTCCCGGAAGTACGCTTGATTGAATATGATCTCCATGAGGTCCTGGACGGGCTTGGGGAGCGTGCAGTCCGGCGTAGACGCCTCTTCACCGTCCTCTGTCTTAACGCCCGGTTTGTCGTCAGCGTCGTCCATCTCCTCGTCCGAGTCGTCGTCGTTGTAGCTGCGCTCGACAAAGGCGTACTTGCCCGGCTTGGGGTTGTCGCCGCGCTTATCCCAGGGCAGCCCAGACTTGTCCTTGAACTTTTTCTCAAAATTCTTGAGCGCATCCTGGAAGGTACCGTTGCCGAGGACGGCGTTTTGGCCGGCCTCGCCGACACGGCCCCATCGAGTCCACGTCTTGAAAGAGCCGCTGGTGGTTTCCCGCAGGATCTGCAACGTGTTAGGAGATTCATGAAACATGCAACACGACTAAGAGATGAGTATCTGCTTACCTGCAGACGGTAAAATTTGTTGTGGTTGTTGGTCGAGCTCGACTGGTTCAGGGAGGCGTCGTAGATCATGCCCGAGTCGGGATCTACGTAGACTTGGTAGTTGGCGAGCTGGCAGTACTCGTCCAACGGGATCGTGAGGCCCTTTTTCTTCATGAACTGACCCTCCGCCACGACCTTTTCTTCCTTGACGGCATCTTCGTCCGTGACAGCGGCGGCGGCCTTGGCCTTTGTCGTGCCATTGGCCTTTTGCTTCTTGGCCTGGGGCTTTGCGTCGACGTCGTGCGCATCCTCATCCTCGTCATCGGCTGCAGCATTTGCTCTTTTGCTACCGCTGCTGCTGGTACCATTCGTCGCCGGCAGCGCGGACCCCTTCTTCGTCGGCGCCGGAACGTTAAAGTTTGCGTTCGCCCAGAGATAATCGTCGTCCGAGACGGGCTTCCCCTGCTTCTCAGACTCGAGCAGCCACTCGGGCTGGACGATTTTAACGCTGGCGTCTTTGGCGGCCTTGACCTTGCCGTCGTTTCCCTGCCTGTAATCGAGCTGCGTGCACACGAGATGCGTAGCATCCTTGCTCACCGTCTTCATGGCCCGGCCGCCAAGGGTGCGCACCAGGGCCTCGAACGACGTCTGCGTGTGACCCCAGGGCGTGAACTTGCCGCAGAAGCTGACGACGCAGCCGGCGAGGGGCGGCGTCGCGGGCTGCTGGGCCTGGGCCTGCTTTTTGGCGGCGGTGGCGGCCGCGGCGGACCTGCTCCGTGTGGGCATTGTGTGGGGGGGTGTTGAGGATGGAATGTGAGTGACGAGATGAGGCTCTGCGGGAGCGGTGGTGGTGGTGACGATGTCTCGGTTCCGCTGCACAGCGTACCTAACGACTGGGTGGAAGACGACGGCGCAACTTTCCTCAAACGCCGAGTAGATGCAATTGAGTGACGGCCAGGCAATTGACCAAACGCACAAAGGAATTGCAGAACACAAGGGGGGAAATGGAGATGAGGAAGAGGCCGTGTTCTGGACAAAGGACGGGGGCTCGTTTTATTTCACGGGCTCAGCTGGGCAGAGCTAACGACAGGTACAGCAAGCTCCGAGGCGGAGGGGACGGGAGGGGCCAGAGCTGCCTGGGGCGGCCGTTTGTGCCACTGGCTCACAGTGGCTCCGCAGCCAGTCGACACCTGAGGTGCCTGTGGGCGCCCCCACCCGTGGCCCCTGGCTTGCCTGGGCCGCCTGCCACCTACCTCAGCTGGCCCGCTTCCACGGCACCGCCTCCAGGCACCAGCGCGCCAAGGCCTCCGCCGGCCGCGCATCATCGTCAGTCCGAGTCGCGAACGTCTCGCGTCGTCACGTGCACCCATCAAACGACGCCGCAACTGATCACCGTCCCACCCCAACATCTTGCCTGATGGTGAAAATCGGAGCGATCCATGGATGCTGCCTGGACGACTCCTCGGTGCGGGAGATGAGCCCATGGCCTGTCACTTCACATCATTCCACAGTTTCCCGAACCTCTGCGACCAAGACGTGGTGCGTATCGTGGCCGACCCCGTGGCCAGGCCGCGGTGGTAAATTATTACATCTCACTCTTGCATCCGGATAGAGCCTGTGGTGACAGCTCACCGGCGCGGCCGCCAATCCCTTGACGCTATCATCGATATCTGCCAGAACACGACCCGGTTGGAGGGTCCCGTCTATGCAACTTTCGTGGTGTTGAACATGCCACCCAGCCGTCCATCCTCTTCCCCATAGCGGTTTCGTGCCTCCATTCCTCCAATGTAACAAGCGCTCGCTCAATAGTCCCATGGGTTCCCAAAGCCGTAGGCGCCCTGCTGCCCCATAAACGCTTCATGCTCCTCCTCTGCCTGTGCCATGAGTTCCTGGATCAGCAACTCCGCCGCGGGTGGTATCGTCCCTGGTGCAAAATCTTCCATCAGCGCCGCCAAGTCCATACCTGCTCGGCAGTATTAGCAACGCTAAACGTGCTTCATCCGTCAACGTCCGTGGAGTCGTCTTCACCGTCGAGTTCCTCCGATTCGCCTGTAGCTGTAGTCCGTGTTAGCCGCCTGTCCCGAGTCCGTACCAGGTCCCGCGCCGCTAGACGTACCATCTTCCAAAGCCGACAGCTCATCCGCGAGATCGTCATCGTCGTCGCCGTCGTCCGAGTGCTCGCTCTCCGGAGTGAGCCTGCGAGGCCACTTAATGTCCAGCAGCGGCGTCACCTCGTCCACAAAGTCCTTCCAGTGCCGCCCCGTGTACTGCGCCTCTACGCCACGGTTCTTGAACGACACGTGGTGCTCCGGCCGGTGCAGGTACGCCTGCTTCAGCGCCCCGAGTTTGATGTGGCGGAGGTCCAGCCCCGAAATCTGCCGTAGCTGGTTCATAAAGTCGGTCCAAAACATGACTCTGGGAGGATCGCTTGGGTCGCTTCCCGGCGGCAGCGGCATCACCAGCGTCATCTTCCACAGCTCCAGCCCGCGCAGCGACGGAGCAAGCTTGCGCAGGATCTTGATCAGTGGCGCGACGGGGACGCTCATCCAGCCGAGGCTGAGGTCCTCCAGCTTGTCCAACGCAGGCGGCGGCGCCGGCATGGCAGCCCTGCCATCGCCGCCCTTGGATCCATTGGGCGTGGCATTTGGGTCCCCGGCAAGCCATGTGAGCAGGTCCGTCATGGCGGTGGGTGAATCGTGGCACTCGTTGATGCGCAGGTCCTTGAGATTCGTGCACTGGCAAAGGAACTGGCGGAGCATGGTGTCGGGTGCCGTCGCGGCGACCTGGGTCCACGGAGCGCTCTGCGCCCTCCAGCCAAGATTAATGGAGAGGTGCAGCCTCTCGAGCCTGTGCAGGACAGGCAAGATGGTGGGCGCGCTGAATTTGGGGATGTTGAAGGCAAAGTCGCGAAGCTGGTTGCCGTTTTTGGCCATGACCTCGATGCCCTTGAGGCTGGTGATGTTGGCAACGCCTAGGGCGTGCGTGACCAGAGCAAACACCTGGCTGCTAAACTGGAAGTTGGTGTTGGAGTTCCAGCCAGCGATTGTCGCCTGACTGAGGCGGATGCCTGTCTCGTCAAAAATAGTCGGCGCACCGTAGCTGGACCACTCGGCGCGGGCGCCCTCTCTGGTGCGCTTGCGAGAATTGTAGTCGCGGATAACGACGCTCTCTAGGTTGGGGAGGTGCTTGAAGGCCTCGACCAGCATGTCGCGGTGGCAGCCCGTGTTCCAGAGACTGAAGTGGTCGGCATAGCGCTGCCTGAACTTGCGTTCCTTGTCGTCGTCGGGCAGCGGGCGCTGGAAGTTGTCGGGGAAGCGGTCCAGGCCGATGTGCAGATGGCGCAGGTGCGGGCCTAACCTGCTTTTTGAGATGTCGATGAGGGCCTGCAGGCTGATGTCTGCAATCATGAACTGTTTGCGAGTGAAGAACTCGTTGGTGAAGGTGACGTAGAGGAGCTGCTCGATGGCGCGGCAGGTGAGGCGAAAGGAGCAGAGGTCCGTGGTCATGAGGTCGTTGGAGATGCGGATAAGGACCTCGAGAGGCAGCTGCTTGATACGACAGCTGCTGGCCGTGTCGCCGGAGCTCCAGGCCGCAACCCAGGTAGGGTCGGCCATGGCTGGCGACGAACGGGCGACGGACGAGCGCCGGCCGGGCGGTGATGGTGGTGCGACAAGTGATCCGGTCAAACAGAATGCGTGCCTCCTATTGGGACGGCGATGACACGATGGCACGTCACTCCAGCGTGAGCGCTCCAGGCTCTAGCGGCGCGGCGCGGGCAGCGACTGGAGACGCACTCGCTTGCGGGGTACCGGCGCGGTCTGGCAGCAGAAGAAACGAGAATGGCGAGGCCCGTCGTGACGATGCATTCAGTCGTTTTAAGACGGGAGCGGACACGAGGGTGGCCGGTCGGGCAAGCAGGCCTGGGCGCCAGGCAGCTGGCTGGCGCCTGCTGAGGGGTGGGTATTGATATGGATTATTGAAATGATGGACGGGCACGAAGTGGAGGAGCTCCAACACAGGCCGGCGGCGGGCTGCAATGGTCAGCAGGTTCGTTTTGTTAGGACACTGGCTTCTTCACCGAGCCGCAGCTTGGGCCTCGGGGCGGCCAGGCGAGCACTGGCGACAAAGGGGTGGGAATGCGGCAGGCGCCTGCGCATGGACGCGTTGGCGATGGGGAGATGATGCCCGGGCGTTACCTTTTGATGCAGATGTCGTCGTCGTGTCGTCGTCTCCTCTCCGTGGGCGAGGATCTGCGGATGTGGCAAAGCGGAAAAGGGAAAACGGCCACCTCACCGCAGGTCAAGGCTATCTGTGGCCTGTCGCCTGGCCAATCCTGTGGCGCGCATGCCTGGCGCCGGGCACTGAACGCGCCCCTACAGGCGTGGGGTGATGGCCCTGGGGGAGGTCCACAGGGCCCGGGCCGGCTTGCCGTGGCGGGTGAGGTCACTGAAGCGTCACTGAACGACCGCCGGGGTGGTGCTGTGGGCTCCCCGAGCTCTTTCAATGGAAACCAGGCGGGGGCGAGTCGAGTTGACAAGGTGCCCTGCCACAGAAGGTTCCAAATTCCTGACGATGGGACTGCACCATGTGAGGCCCTATGAATGCCGCACCACACAGCCCCAGACTTTACTACATACACACTCCAACTGCACCAGGCTTACGGGCCGTGTGCTTGTCGTGGATTTAGCCGAAGCGCTTGAGATACATGTCTGACCTTTGACGAGTACGAACCTATATCAACGACCATTGTCTGCCGCGTGAGTTCAAGCGCAAGGCCTCCAGTCTCACCTCTCTGCCATCGGCAGCTCACCTCACCCTCGCCACATCATGGCATTACTCATGCACGTCAAATTATCCTCTCCTGCTCACCTGGGAGTGCAGCCTGTGAGTATCACAAGGCAGAACACAAGTTAAGGAGCATTCATTATGGCCCGATCCAACGCAGAGCCTCTCAACTCCAGCCAACTGCTCACTGTAATGGCTGAGTTTTATGTACATAATAGAAACTCATTCGGCTAGCCTAATACTCCGTGCAACTAAATGGGCATGAGCAAGGTGCACATCATGCAGTCCCGCAGCCCGTTCCCGGTTTGGCGGAAATGAGATGATACGAGGCGTGTGAGAGTACAATGGGCGGGCATCCTCTCTCTGTCGGCACCGAGACGCAGAGTTGGATATAATTCACCGCCACCACGCCACCCACCAGGTCGCTGCCGATTGGACCAGCTCATCACCCAGACAAAACCCCGTTGCTCCTACACGGAGGCATCTCCAGGTTGAAGACCGAGCACGTACATACGACTGGAAGCAGTAGCAAGCCGAACTTCCACGGACAAGTAGTTGGTTGTCCAGTCAGCCGTCGAGACCCTGGTTGAGTTCTGTGCGTTGTGACTTCGCAATGGGATATCCGTCGAATGAAAAACTGCATCGCGATCAAGTGCGGTTCATACCGCCGGGTTGGTGTTGGCGATTTGAGGAACCGGCAAACAGTCTCCATGTCCCTAGGCATCCCGGCCACCTCCCACCCAGGTTCGTTCTGGAAAACCAGGACCCCATCTTCTCGCACGTACCACGAACTTCATGTTGGCTGTCTGTAGGAGAACCTTGACTCACCGAGAACAGGACCTGGCAGCTTCAACCGCGTCACAAAGCTTGAGGGTCAGGTACCACGCGGGACCCCCCCCTCGTTAAACACTTCAAACATGCCGCGAGGCCGTGCCTCAGTTTGACTTACCGACGCGGAGTCTTGACGGAGAGCGAGAACCTCGCGAAGCTCAAGATTTGGCCAGCGGCTGGACGCTTCATGTTGCGATCCTGGAACGTAAACATACATGTCATGTTGGTGAGCCGCAACATTGGGCGGCAAGTCCCGACCAATATTTCCCTTCCAGTCATTCTGAGATCTGTCCGCTTCCAAGGGCCAGGCTCCCTGTAACGGGTGCCCGGCTGCAGGAACCAACAGTTAACGAGGCAGCTTAGATGAGCACTAGCACCCGTGGAGCCAACGCAGATGGCGCACGACTAGGCTGTTGAAGGCCGATGACTCGGGTATTGACGAGTCGCCGAGGAAGCTCGGTGCTTCCAGGGACGGAGTTGGTTGAGCGCCCGAGCCACATTTACCTTTCAGGTACCAATTTTCAAGCACGGACCAGTCTGCTTCGTGTCTGGTACGGAGCTCGCAAGTGCTCACATGGAACATTGGATGCGACTGGAGTGAACCAGACAAGGCTCTTCCACTTGACTTCTGGCGCGCAACATGAAGCACACACCCAACACTTCCCGAGGCTGTCGTCCCCTCCCTCCCGGTTCTGACAAGCCACAAACAGCAATTCCGTCCCCTGCCCTTCAATAGCTGTTTGGCTGCGACGACCAGATCCCTGAATGTGCGATTGACGAGTGGCTTGACCCAACGCCTAACCACAAGCCCCCCATGTCCCCCGCCATTCACGCCGGATGGCACCACGGTGATGAATCTCCTGTTGCCCTTTCGGACAAAATCTAACCAGACCAACCGAGGACGGACGACGCTACAGCCACTCCCTGCCCGCCGTCCCCTCACGCGGGGGAGCTGGTGAGCCCGGTTCCTGCTCTGCGGAGCACACAGAGGGGATACGCATCAGAGTTGTTGAGCGTGACACTGCAAACTGCAATCTGTGTTGCTGTAGGATCGTGCTCTTCGTTGTCTATACGCCTTCGATGGATGAGACCGTGCGATATTGCAATGAAGTCTTACGCCGAGTGGCACCGTTGGCTACCTGAATCACGGCGCCTGGCCTCTCTTCTCGGACACCTCATGGCGACTCACAACTACTGTCGCGCTCACCATATTTACATATCCAGATGCCGGGAGGCCACGCCATGTACCGGCCTCAAACCTCAGGTGGAAGCGCAATCAAGCACGACTCCGACAGGCCTCACCCAACTCAAACGAAATACCTAACATAACATGTAGGTTGGCCTCAGGCAAGCCGATCCTTGCTTTTCTGGCCACAACACGCCGCGTGGCTGAGATGGAGTGAGTTGGTGTGCGAACATGTCTTCCTTCAGGCCAGGCGTCCAGACAAGAAAGCTACGAAAGACGTGCAGCAGCCACAATGCAGCACCAACCCACGCGCTGGGCGCCGACCACGACATAGCAAGTTAGTACTCTTGCTGCGCCACCATCCCGGTTGCACCTCATCGGGCGGCCAATCAGGCACTGCGACGCGCCTGCGACGCATTGAGTGCCGGAGGCATCTCCAGAGTCCAGATTGAATCTCACGATGGGGGCCCCGTGATAGGTGCAGCCCCTGGCCTTGCCAGCCCACTGGCGAACCTAGTCAAGTCGAATGTGTTGCTGCCACAAAGGCGAGCATTGGCCGGAAATCTGCCTCGCGATCCACGCGGCCCAGTTGGTGGTGGGCGATTTGATGATGACATGGCGAACACGGTCGGGACTTTGGGCCGTTTCTGGAAGGGAAGAATCCACCGAGAAGGTGTGGAGTCCACGGTCCTGCCGCACGTGTACCAAATGTTGGCTCACCGAGGAGATCCTCGAGCTCAAGAGCCAGAGACATTACGTCGACCCACGCATCCAAGCATACCGTGGCACGCCCATCAGGGCCAGGACAAGGATGGGCAGTTGCCGTGCGGAGCGGACGCGCAACATGGGAGCAGCCGGTCTCCATATGTCCACTCTTGCAGGCAAACGACGCGCGCTTGACGCGCCACCACGACAAGCTTTATCCTTCCGTCCATCTCGCAGTTTCGGGAAGGCGCCGCTTGGAAGAGCCAAGGCCCCGCACAACCCCCTCTACGAAGTACTTTGTTACCAAGTATTTGCTGTGGGAGGGCCGTTCATGAGTGGACATGGAAGGCCGTTGGCCTCAGGCGAGTTGGCGCGCACCCCAAGCCTGCTGGAGGTCGACGGAGCCCGTGGAGCCCATCAGCCGGCACAGGTCGCCTCGGCGACTCAGGCGATGCCGAGTCGTTGGGTGGTCGCCCCGTTCCGGGCTCAAGTTGAGTGCCCCAGCCAGATGTTCTTCTCAAGCTGTCAGACGCAGGCTGCTTCGTCTCCAGCATACTAGAACCAAGGTTCCCAGGTTCCTAGTCTCTGAAGGCTCCCGAGTGTTCGATTGGACGCTGGCGGGAGTTCGCGGGACCCTGTGGCGCTTGTGCCTTCAATCAAGCACGCACATGGCACTCCAGAGTCAAGTCCCGACCCGTAACTCTCGTCCCGTCCCTCCCGGCGATGTGGCTGGCTTGCTCGAAGCCGGGTGGCCCCCCACTCCTCCAGACTCCAGAGCCCCAAAGGACCACCGTTTTGCCCTTTGACGGGCCCCTTGCCTCCCCGCCCCATACCACCCTAGCAGCCGTTTCGTTGTGAGGGCGAAATCCTTGGACACACCCTCTCCAGTCGTGGCGGCGCCACTAAAGACTGCTGACGCGCCCTCTCCAAAGTCCTGACTCCGGCATTCGACCCAGCTTTTCCCTCGCCCTTCCGGACTTAAGTCCTCCTCCAAGCCACGACGCCGGGATTTGACATCCACCCCCCTCCCCACCGCCCTACGATGCGGGGGACGGCACGTTGGAGAAGAGATCCACAACCGCGGGCACCAACCTGCGGCGCGCAGAT